CAAAAAAGCTCTCAGTAGATTTTCTGTGTTTTTAAGCCAGCTTCAGAGAGCTCATGTTGATCTATCAGGTTACCATTTAGATCTGTGCTGAATAGTATTTTTACCACTGTACTCTATTGGCCATATACAGCTATTTAAAATTAATTACAGTTCAATAAAGCAAAATTAGTCTGGTTCTTCATCTAAATAACCTTATGTGACTAGTGGATACTATACTAGACAGCATAGAGTAGATCATTTCCATTGGGGTTTATTGGACAGTTCTGGTAGGGAGAGTTGCCAGTAGCAGGTAGCATTATGTAAAAAGGATTGGGGAGTTGAATTTTTTAATAAAAAATTAAAAAGGAGCCGGGCACACTGGCACATACCTGTAATCCCAGCGACTAGGGAGGCTGAGGCAGGAGGATTTGCTAGTTCAAAGCCAGCTTCAGCAGCTTGGCAAGGCACTTAGCAACTCAACCTGTCTCTAAATAAAATACAAAAAGGGCTGAGTGCTAAGAGCCATAGCCAAGTAGGAATGACGCCAGTAAGCCATTGAGGTGATAATGATTGTTAAGATGTGCATTCAATTGGATATTAGACCCCTGCTGTCTTCCTCAGCCTGCTACTTTGGAGCTCTCACTGGGACTCCCGGAAAGTTCCTATTGGTTGGGGGAAGTGCGGTAGGAGGGATTTCCGGTTGGTGTGTGTCCCAGGCGTGGCGTTTGAGGAAGTTTTGGAAATAAAGTTTGTTGCTGCTTGAGTGGCTCGTGATTTTGTGCCCAGCCAGACTGTGGCACTGAGGATGTCACCCAGTGTTTAAGCATCTCTGGGTTCAATCTCCATACCAAAAAAATAAGATAAAACCAAAAGGTCTGGTGGCCTTGGGCAAGTTGTTAAGCATCTCAATTACAAATAATAGTCTTTAATAATGAGTGCTTTCATTTGTATAATACTTGTCTGTTCTCAAATAATAGTTATGTCTATTAGATCTTTTGAGACTTATCACTGTAAATCTATGGGGAGGTAAGTGAGACATCTCTTTTTATACATGAGAAAACTAAACCTAAAGCAGTTAAAAATCACACTAACAGTTGAAATCACACAAGCTGACAGAGTGTAAAGAAATCTTTTGTATCTAGGTTCTTATTGTTGTTTGAATTACTTCAATGTGTTGAAGCTGTTTAAGTTGATGAACAACCCCTTAAGGGAGAGGGTGAGAACTTCTGACTCCTGGCCAGGTTGTCTTTTTTACCTGTTTCCATGTGGGGCTAAAAAGTCTTTGAGTTGAAGAATTACAGTGTTCCATGAGTGAATATGAGTATGTCAAAGGAATCACTTAAGATATTTGTGAAGTATACAAGTTTATATACCTTCTAGAGATTCCGGTTCAGAAGAAGTGGAGCCTTGAAATCTGTATATTTAACAAGTACCCATGTTTCTTAGTATCTGCTGAGTTTGGGAAATGGCTAAGCCTTTAGACCCTGATAGAAGTAAGGTATTATTGCATCTGGAGGCAGTTGCTCCTTTTAGGATAGATTTTTAAAATTTTGTGTTTGACTTTCCTTGCCTGTAGCCATGGATGCATCATATGATGGTACTGAGGTAACTGTCGTGATGGAGGAAATTGAGGAAGCCTTCTGTTATACCTCCTCTGGGCCACCTAAGAAGAAGAAAAAGTATAAAATACATGGAGAAAAGGCCAAGAAACCCAGGTTAGCCAACATGTTTTGGTTGCTGCTGAAATTTATAAACCTACTGCTTCGAGAGCCATGTTGAAGAATATTTTAAAATATTTTTAAGAGTACAGTTGTTGAAGTCTTTGAATGGGCATTGGGATGTGGGGAGAGGAAGATGGAAAGTGGAAAGTGGCTGGATACATGCCAACATTTGCTGTTCCTGGCCAGACTTTGCTTATGTTTTCAGGCTGTCAAAAAAAAAAAAAAAAAAAATTGCACCAGACAGATGGTAGAAGCTATGTACAAAAAGAGCTACATTATTTTTATTATACCATTGTTGTTTAAATATTAAAACAAGTCATTAATAAAATTATAGAATTATAAATAGTACCAGTGACATCTATAGAGAATATCCAGATTGTAGCTCTAATATCCCTCTTAAATGTGAACACTGCATACATCTTGCTGAGGCTTTCTCAGCCTTCAGGAGGTATTTTTGTTCAGTTAAATGACCAGAGGCCGTGTAAAGGAGTAAAAAGTATGTGTGATAACCAGCCTGGGTGATCAGCCCCCTGATAGCCTTTCCCTGAGTGGTGCAACAGGACACCTGTGTCTTTCTTTGGCTATATTTGATTTTAAGCCAGTTGGTCCTGCAGGAAAAAGTGGTCCATGGAAAAGTACATTGCCTTTCTTTCAGGTTTCTGAAGGGAGAATAACCACTGACTTGTCTTTACTATTCATTTTGCCCCACCTCTCAAATACCATCTGGGTGTGTTAATTTTTTTTTTTTTTGCTTGATTTTCAGTCTTATTAAGTGCTTTGAATGGAGATGCTGGGTTTTTATATTAATCTCTTAATTATGCAGCCTCTAATGTTGTGGTACACATGGGGTGAATAAGGGAAGGTCTGAAGAAGTGGTTGCTTCCTCAGGTCTGCTTACCTTCTGTACTACTATGACATCTACCTGAAAGTGCAACAAGAGCTCCCCCACCTCCCACAGTCTGAAATCAATAAGAAGATTAGTGAGAGTTGGAGACTTCTCAGCGTGGCCGAGAGGAGTTACTACTTGGAGAAAGCCAAACTAGAGAAAGAAGGTTTGGATCCTGTAAGTAATTTTTTTCCAGCTAATTTCTCCATTGGTTCAAATGAGAAAGCCTTGGGGAGACCAACCACCTTGTTTTCTTGTTTCCTTTTCTTTGCTTGGGAAAATTTTTATCATTTTATCTTTCTTGAATTTCACAATGTCTGTTTCCATTTTGATGATTCTCTGGACTCTCTTTTCCTCTTTGGTTATGACAGTACTAAAGCTGATATTTTCTGGGTTTTCTGCAGTGAGCCTTAGGGTCCTTTTTTGAATTTTAGTAGAACTTGGAGCCCTTATCCCTTGGGTAGTTAGTGGTATTTTTCCTTTAATAAAATAGCTTACAAAGGCATTTCTCTTATATGTTTTCATATTGCAAATTGATTATGGTATAATTAATTTTACTGACTATTATCAACTATAATCAAGAATTATGCATGGTTAGAGGTAAGATGCCATTGTTTGTGTAGCATGGGGTTCTTTTGTTACTATTGGCGATTATGAAATATACTAGAAGCAAAACTGCAAAATTAAAGCCAAAGATGATGGAGGAAACTGAAGCTTTGAATGCTTGGATTAAAGAACTATCATGAAAGCATTTAGGTTTATATTTGTCAGCCATTTTGTTATTTCTCCTTCACAGTGTGACAAAATACATTGGCAGCTATTTAAACAGCTGTTTTTTTTTTTAATTGAAGTTCCTGCAGGAAATATAACCTTTCTCTTACAAGCTGAAATCTTTATACTTGAGCTCCAATTAAACAATTGTCTCTATCTTCTTTTTTGATATAAAGCAGAGGTTTCTTTTGAAGTCAACAAGTATGTAACAGAACAGGTTATATTAAGTTCATCTGCCATTTAGATTTTGTTCTTATTTACTTGACAACTTATAGTCTTAAAGATACCACTTTCTACTTCTTTTAGATTTGTTTATAAGGTGTGAGTCTGGGAAATAATCCCTGGGGGTGGGGGTGGGGGTGGGGATGGGAGGTAGAATCTAAGAAAAGAAAACCTATTCCTTTGGCTTCCCTATTATATAATTCGAGATCTAAGAGCTGGGAGTGTAGCTCAGTGGCAGACAATGTGCTTAGCATATGTGAGACCATGGGTTCATCCACCAGCATCCCCCCAACCAATGCAATATTTTTGTCCATGATGAAGAAAATTTCATGTAGTCCTGGAATGATTTGGTTTTACTAGACACTGAGGATGTAGACCCTTATAAAGACTGAAAATTGTAAGTCATCAGCCATGATTCTTCCTTATCCATATGCATACTTAAATTTATCCTATCTTCACCACTACCACCAAGATCATGAATGGCTTAGCTCTGATACTGAGTGACCCTAGAAGAATTATTTAACTTTTGAGTCTTGGTTTAACTCATCTGCAAATGGATCTAGTACCTACTCATAATGTTTAAAAAGAGAATAAAATCACCTACCTAAATCCTTGCACATTCTGACTTTGTCAATAATTATCACCCTTGAGTAAATTAAATGTCCAATAAACATGTAAGTAAAGGTGTTGTTTATTGAGCAACTAAAATGTGCCAAGGCTAGGTGAAACTTTAGGTGCTATTCATCTTCTCATATTGCTTGGTGTGAGGCTGAGAACCTCCCTGCCTGAATGTAGTAGCTTGTCAGAGTCTTTGTGGCAGGCTGCCTCCTCAGCAACCCTTTCGGTCTCCCGCCAAGGGCAGGTCCAGTGTTCCAGTGTTATTCCTTCCAGCCTGTAAAATTAATGTCATCCAGACCATTCTGTTTTCTCTATGCTTGTATTTAAGTGTATTTGCCACCATTTAATCATGTTCTTTTAATCAGCCAGCTTCAGAGGTTGACTAGAGAATGTTTCCTCAACACTTTCTCCTAAAAGCTCCATAAAGGATTGAGTCTGTCTTCTTTCATGTTTCATCTGAATGTTTCTTTTATTTCTTAGTGTTTCCTAAGAAACACTAAGTAGTCTTATTGACTTTTTGTTTTTGATTCAAGGATTCATTTGTAATTGATTTTAGTGTTTCTTCTAAAATATGCTTCTGAAATTATTTTATTTGTTGTTGCATTTAGTTTTAGTTCTCCGTATTTACTTTGAACTCCTACTTCCTTATTAGATGACTTTCAGTTTAAGTTGAAAAAATGAAACAAAATGCCCCTTTTTTGGTGCCAGTTAACCATACAGGGTTATGTTTTTAGTCCCAGGTCGTCTTGATCTTGAGGAGACTTTGCCTTGAGAGTCAGGTCTTTACTACTTAATAAACTTGTGTTTTGGAAGTTTAATCTTCTTCAGCCTGAATTTCCTCCTGTGTTAAATGCAGTTAATAATAGTATCACCTAACTTGATAGTATTGTTTTTAAGGTGAAATTAGAGAATAGGTTTGAAAGCATTTTCTAACTTTAATGTATTAGATCACTTTTTTTTTCTCTTTAATATATTCAGGACACTTCATGGAGCCCCTGCTATGTATATTTTTTCTCACCATGCTTTCTCAACTTTTGACCTCTTAATCCTTTTTTTGTTAATCTGGGAGAACCAGTGAGGTCAGAAAACCTGACTTGCTGTGTTGAGTTCCGTCTTGACCTATTAGGTTGTTTTTTTATGCTTTTAGGATTTTTATTAAGCATGATACATTCTGGTAAAGCTTATAGACTACTTTATATACTTAGGAATCCTGAAGTATCAAAGCTCAAAAAGAACTCATATTGCCAGATTGCACTCATTGTATAGATGGGGAAACTGAGACCTCAAAAGAAGAAAGTATTTTCTCAAGACCATGCTAGGCTAGTAGTACTAGCTCATAGTTTTAGATGCCTACATTTTCTATGTGAGTCACCAAGAAGTAAGATTGATTTAAGTGAAGATGACATTACTGTTGACAGAGGCTGACCCTAACTAATTTAAATCAAGGGAGTAGAGTCTTTTTGGTCCTTTTGCAGAAAAAAATGAGCTAATAAATATGTATCTATTTACTTTATCATTGTCTTTGCTTATCCCTCTTTCCCTGGCTTTCTTATCTTCAGAACTCTAAACTGTCTGCACTGACTGCTGTGGTTCCGGACATTCCAGGTTTCCGCAAGATCCTTCCCCGCTCAGATTACATCATTATCCCCAAGAGCAGCCTACAGGAGGACCGGAGCTGCCCTCAGTTAGAGCTGTGTGTGGCTCAGAACCAGATCTCCCCTAAAGGACCTCCTCTTGTGTCCAGCACTGCCCCAGAGACAGTGTCCAGCCATGCTGGCATGGCAGAGCAATGCCTGGCTGTGGAGGCCTTGGCTGAGGAGGTGGGAACCCTTGCTCATCCAGGTGCTGTACAAGAGATTGCCACCTCAGAGATGCTCGGCCAGGATGTGCTTTTGGAGGAGGCTTCCTTGGAGGTAGGAGAGAGCCGCCAGCCTTATCAGACAAGCCTGGTAATTGAAGAGACCTTAGTGAATGGCTCATCAGACCTCCCCACTGGAAGCCTGGCTGTGTCCCACCCTCAGGTTGGGGAGAGTGTATCAGTGGTGACAGTCATGAGGGTAAGTGGCTTTGGTACTCATGTTTTTCTTTATCTAGGAGTTAGTAAAAAGGCAGCCAGCGCCATGCAGTGTGATTTTGGAACAGTGATATGGTAAGAGTTCTTATATGGAACTTCTGGTGGGACTAGTTCTCTTGAATATTTCTGATCTCTGTGCTTGCTCCAAAGTTCTCAGTTTCTCAGGCACTCCTATTAATAATTCTGGCCCAGCTTAATGAGAATTTTCTTAACATAATATGGCACATGAGATTCATTAGCAGGAAAGCTGGAAATTGTCAAAACCAGGACCTGTCAGGCTATTAATACCAGTCAGGATTTTGTATTCTTAATGACTATTTCAGCAAACAGTGGCACCTTGATCTGTATATGAGAATAATTAAAATTTATTCCTGGGTACAGATGGGGTAGGAAGAAAGACATTTTCTTCAAGGCCAGATTGATGGGATTAAGTAACTTAGCCTAAGACCTATGTTTATTTGAAGGAAAAGTAGCAGTTTCATTGATTGTATAGCTGGTTCCCAGAAGTCGGGGAATTGGCTACCATGCCCCAGTGTATGGCTTCTGCTCTTTCCCCTGGATGGGATAGCATTCTCAGACAGGTGGGAATCCTAGTAAGTCTAAGAAGGCTTAGTGGTAGAACACTTAACCCTAGCACGTACAGGACCCTCAGTTCAATCCCCAGTACTGGAAAGATAAATTGACAGGGTTAGAAGAATTGGATTCTCTCACTGCTTATGTGATCTTAGGAGTCCCAAGACTCTTGGAACCTCCGTTTTTTCATACGTAAAACTAGGATAGCAAATATTTTGTGGTAGTAGTTTTCTCTTTGTTTCCTCCTAATTAAACTTGTCTTCATTTTGAGGTAACTATATATTTGTTTCTACATGTGTACATTGATAAGCACACTGTTTATGAGTATTGGATTTATAGTCTTCAAGTGTTATGAGTGGTCCTGGGTGTTCTGCACTATACTTTAATGAAACTGTCCTTCTCTCCATTATCTGCAGGACTCCTGTGAGAGTAGCTCCTCTGCACCAGCCACGCAGTACATCATGTTGCCTCTGCCTGCCTACTCAGTTGTGGAGAACCCCACCTCCATCAAACTGGTCAGTATGTGGAGTGGTGATAGCATTTAGGGTTCTTCTTTTCTAAAGTTCTTTTTCTCTTTTGGGGGGTACGATGAGTACCAGGGATTGAACTCAGGGGCACTTGACCACTGAGCCACATTCCCAGCCCTATTTTGTATTTTATTTAGAGATAGGGTCTTACTGAGTTGCTTTACACCTCACTTTTGCTGAGGCTGACTTTGAACTCCCAATTGTTCTGGGATTATAGGCATGCACCACCATGCCCGGCCTAAATTAGTTTTTCTTAAAAAGTCTCTGACCCTTTGACTGGGGAATGAAATTGACCAAATGATGTTGTATGCATATACGAATATATAACGGTGCTATATGTTATATATAATTATAACACACTAAAAAAAAAGGGAGAGAGAGACACTTAGACTGCTAGACAGTTGGGACTGGCTATATATAATTATAACACATTAAAAAAAAGGGAGAGAGAGAGACACTTAGACTGCTAGACAGTTGGGACTGGCAGAGGTCTCAGGGATTATCCAGGCCATGTGTTCTTAAATTGGGAGTTTTATAGAACTCCACAGGATCCATGAATTCCCTCAAGTTATATACAAACTGCTGGAGAGCATTTTCCTGGGATAGATTCCATGGCTATCAAATTTTCAGAATCATGCTTGCTTTCAAAAAAGGAGCCACTGATATAATTAAATATTGTTATTGTATAGATTAGGGAACAGACCCAGAGAAGAGAAAGGCCCTTAGACTACAAGAGAGCCAGAACCAGGATTCTAGTTTTTTTGATTCTCAGTTGATATTTATTTCATCACACACTATAGCATCTGGGCTAAATATTTTCATGTTTTCAATGCTATCATATTAATATTTTAAAAAATTATCAATATCTGATTGTTCCCTGCTAGTATTTAGTAATATAATTGATTTTTTTTTTTTCTTATTACATTGTCTAGGTCCTCTAGTACAATGTTAAATAAAAGTCCTAAGGGCAGATAAGATCTTAGGGGAAATATTCAGTCTTTCATTATTAAGTATGATATTAGCTATAGGTTTTTCATAGATCCTGTTTATCAAGTTTAGGATGTTTCCTTCTATTTCTGATTTGCTAGGAGGGTTTTGTTATTCTTATTTTTGTTTGTTTTCTTAATTACTGGGATTGAATCTAGGGGGCCTCTACCCCTGAACTACATCACCAGCCTTTTTTATTTTGCAGTGTGGTCTCTTAAAGTTGCTGAAACGACAAATTTACTGGCCTCAAACTTGCAGTTATTTATTCTACCTTATCCTTCCAAATTGCTGGGATTATAGATGTGTACCACCTCACCCAGCTTTCTAGGAGTTTTTATTAGGAACTGATATTGGATTTTTGTCAAATGCTTTTTCTGTGTCTATTGAGATGATTGTGTGGATTTTCTTTTTTCTAGTTAGTTAATGTGATTAACTTCATTGTTTTTCCAAATGTTAAACCAACACAGCATTCTTGGGATAAACCTTACTTGGCAGTAATCTATTATTATTTTTATGTATTGTCAGATTTGATCTACTAAAATTTTGTTCAGAATTTTTGTATCTGTGTTCATGAGGGATGTTGATCTCTAATGTGTGTAGTGTGGTTTTTGTATAATGGTTTTGTGTGCTTGCTTCATAAAATGAGTTGAAAAGTATTTTCTCCTCTTCTGTTTTCTGGGTAGTTATGAGTGGAATTGCTGGGTCACATGGTAATTCTGTGATGTTGTGTTCATATTATTTCTTACAGTGTTTGGTAGAATTAGCAGTGAAGTTGTAAAGTCATCTAGGCCTGGAGTTTTCTTGCTGAGAGGTTTTTAACTGCAAGTCCAACTTTTAAAAATATACATGGGGCTATTTTTTTTTTTAAGATACAATCTTGCTTTATTCCCCTGGCTGGCCTTGAATTTATGATCCTCCTGCCTCAACCTCTAGAGTAGCTGGGACTACTGTTGCATATCTCGTGCCCAGCCATATAGGACTGTTTGGAGTTCGGCATTGGAGTACCTATTTTTGAGTAAGCTCTTTGTATATTGTCTGTCAGGGAATTTGGTATTTCATACTGGGGATTGAACCCAGGGGTTCATATGTGATAGCTTACATTACATGGGGGAGGAGAGCTGGGTGGGTTTCCATGATCAGTTGTCCCCTGTGTAAGCCTTCTATGTTAGAAAAGGAGCTGTGTGTTGCTGAGAAGAAAGTGTATTCTGTCATTGATGGGTGAAATATCCCATATATGTCTGTTAAGTGTAAGTTATCAATTGTGTTTTTTAGTTTTATAGCTTTGTTTAGTTTTTGTGTGGAAGATCTATCCAGTGGTGAGAGAGGTACATTAAAGTCACCCAGTATTGAAATTGAGAAGGATTTGTTTGATGTATGTATATGCTCCGTTGTTTGGGGCATGAATATAATTGTTATGTCTTGTTGATGTATAGTTCTCTAAAGCAGTTTAAAATGGCTTCCTTTGTCCCTTCTGATTAACTGTGGCTTGAAGTCTACTTTATCTAATATAAGGATAGAAACAAACCCCTGATTGTTTACAAGATCCATGTGATTGATATGTGTTGTTTCCCATCCTTTTACCTTCAGTTTGAGGATGTCTTTGCCTATGAAGTGAGTCTCTTAAAGGCACCATATTGTTGGGTTTTGTTTTTTAGTCTAGTCTGCTAGTCTGTTTTTTGATTGATTGTAGGCCATTGGCATTCAATGTTTTTTTTTTTAATTTTTAATTATAGATGGACACAATACCTTTATTTTACTTATTTATTTTTATGTGGTGCTGAGGATCGAACCCAGTGCCCTCACCCATGTGAGGCAATCACTCTACCACTGAGCTACAACCCCAGCCCCTTGATGCTGTTATTGAGAAATGGTTTTTATTCCCTGTCATTTTAATTTGTTTCTGGTTTTTACTTTGAATTGATTTCTCCTTTGATTGATTATTCTTCGAATATAGTTCCTCCCTTTGCTGGTTTTCACTTTTATTTTTCATTTCTTTATGAAATATTTATTGAGAATGTTTTGTAGTACAAGTTTTCTAGTTGTGGAAGTTTTTTTTTTTTAATTTCATTGTCAATTCTGAAGCTTAATTTTGCTGAGTATAGCATTCTTGTCTGACATCCAGTTTCTTTTAGAGCTTAGTATATATTATTCCAAGACCTCCTAGCTTTGAGGATCTAAGTTGAAAAATCAGCTGAGATCTGTATTGATTTCCCTGTAAATGTAATTTGTTGTTTTCTCTCTCAGCCTTTAAAATTCTATTCTTATTCTGGATGCCTAATATACTTATTCTGTATGTTAGTCATTTTCACAATAATGTGCCTAAGTGGGTCTATTGTAATTTTGTATATTTGGGGGTCCTATTGTTACCACTGTTGACCTGATGAGTCCTTGCTTCCCCATTGTTGAAGAATAACGCCAGAGAAGCATGCCAAGGCAAGGTCAGAGTAGAAATTAGAAGTTTATTAAAGGACAGCAGAAAAGACTTCTCCTAGAGGAAGAAGGGGACCAGAGAGGTGTAATTCCTGGAAGTGCGGGTTGTTTCCCCTTTTCATAGTTCTTTCAGTGATGGAATGTAGGTTGGAAGGCCCAAGGGGTGGGACACACATGGGCCAAAGAAATAATCTGGGCAGGAAGGACTACATTCACACTTCTTTGGGTTGGGCTATCTTCAAATCTGCTGGGGCTGTTCATTAACATTTCTTTGGGATGGACTTTGGGCCTAGGGCTTTATTAACATTTCAAGAGTTGCTCAACTTTTCTGGAAATTCATTCTCAACATGGCCTCCATTTTAGATTTTACTTGATATTAGACCCTAACTACACTGACTGCCTAATTTTAAATCTGGCTTCACTATAAGCCTCCTGTATCTGGTTTTCCATTTCATTCTTTAGGTCTGGGAAATTTTCTTACATTGTTTCATTGAAAAGATTGTGCATTCTGTTGGTTTGTATCTGCGTGCCTTCATCTATCCTAATAAATCTTAAATTTGGTCTTTTGAGTTTGTCCCATATTTCTTGCAAATTCTGTTCATGGTCTCCTAACATCTTTTCTTCATGGTCAACTTTATTTTCAAGATTATATAATTTGTCTTCATTGCCTGAAACTCTTCTGAGTGGTCTGGTCTGTTGGTGATGTTTTCAGTTGAATTTTTAATTTAGTTTATTGATTTCTTCATTTTGAGAATTTCTGCTTGATTTTTTTTTCAGAATCTCTTACCTCTTTATTGAAGTTATCTTTCACTTCCTGTATTTTCTCTCTGATTTTACTCCTTATGTCATCCTTTACATCAAAGATCAATTTGACTGTGTACATTCTAAATGCCTTCTGACAATTCTTCTACTGTGGTATTGTGGGATTCCGTCATTGAAGTATCTTGGTTTGGTTGGGGTGATTTGTTCGTTTGCTTTTTCATGTTATTTGTGTGTCTACCCATCTAGCAGTCCAAACTAGCAGTCTGAGGGAGTAGAGTTTCTATCCTGTGGACTTGTAATGTTCCTGAAGGTTTCCAGTACCTCATTCTTTTATTATATCCAACCTCAGTCCCCAGTCTGCTTTGAATGTCCAGTATTAAATTCCAGTAAATTTCTCTTCACCCCTTTTTTTGTTTGTTTGTTTACCTACTTGCTGAGAAGCTGCCTGTCTGCTTTCTTGTTTCACACCACAGAGCAGCCAAAAAAGCAACCTCCTCTATTCTGCCATCTTGAAATTTCCATGGTAATTCACTTATAGAACTAAGTTAAATTTTTATTCTGCTTCTTGGGAGTGTTCACTATGAAGATTATGTATGGGGTCACAGTCTAAAAAAAAAATGACAGATGTTTTACAGCTCAGTAATTTAGCTCTCACAAATGTATAGAATCTTACAATTTACTAAGTGAATATTTCTTCATTCTCTGCTTCATTTCTTCCTCAAGATACCAGTAAAATAGGAAGAGCGTATGATTTTTACAGACATTAAACCCAAGGCCCAAGAGTTATAATGACTGACTTCTAGGTCATCCAATGTGTTAATGGCAAAGTTGGAACCCACAGCTTGGTCTCTTTCCTTGGTGCCTGGCCACTTTGTACTCATGCTTTATTTGGTACTGCTTTGATAATCAGCTTTTCTTAAGGCTCCCTGACAGAGGTAAAAGCTAGTGGCAATTTAGTGTTTTCCAAGGAAGGTTTTTGCTTTTTGGCCAGACTAGGGACGCTGGAATTAATAGTTGAGTAAACATTATAAGTGACAAAACATATCTGATAAGGAAATTATTTTTTCAGCTTTAATCTAGAAATGGAACATGGCTAATGAGTGAATAATTCCCATTTGTAGCTGAAATGTAATAATCCATTGTAATACATTTTGCTCAAAGGTTGGTTAGTAGAGATGGTGAGAGCCAATGGCTGACTATATTCATATGCAAACAACTAAATTCTGGTGAATATCAAAGGACCTGATTTCTACTCCTGTATTTTCTTATTATTTTTTTCCAGTAATCATGGTTCTATTTTTATATCTCTGAATTCTAGGTCGTAGTTTCTCTGATTTTTAACTAGTAAGAAGGAAGAAGAAGCAAATTTTTTGAAATATTGAATCAGAGGGTATACCTAGGTACACAGAAGGAATCTTGGACCAAGAATCAGACACATTTGAGTTCTAGTCCAGCTTTGCCTTTGAGTCACTATGTGATTTGAGATAGCATTTAACTACTGTGAACCTAAGTAGTGATAATACTTATCTACTCAGTAGCATTGCTGAGAATATTAAATGAGATATTACTAAAGTGTTTAGCGCTGTGTGTTACCTTGCTCAATTAATAGCAGTTACCACTGTCTGATAATTGTTGTGGTTATAATGGTCAGCAGCATCGGAGAGGGGTTGGATTGTGATCTTGATTCTGATACTTTATTATTATTTTTTTAACAGACCACTACATACACTCGCCGGGGCCATGGGACGTGCACCAGCCCAGGTTGCTCCTTCACATATGTCACTAGGCACAAACCACCTAAGTGCCCTACCTGTGGTAACTTCCTAGGAGGGAAGTGGATCCCAAAGGTAAGGTCCGTTGACCATTGTTGTTTTGGAAACACAACAGAGTAAGCTTCCTGTTGCCCTTAAGAGCAGATAACTTTTTAAAAATTGATACTTTTAATTTTGACCATCATTTTCATTATAAACAGTTTATAAAATTAAAAAATAATAACAGAAAATAAAATTTTATGTGTAATTTTTTGTGTATGTTGATGGAGATTGGGCCCAGGGCCTCATGCTTGTGAAGCAAATGTTCTACCACTGAGCTACACCTTCAGCCTTTATCCACAATCATATCATCCAAAGAAAAGCCTTATTACTTAACATTTTGGTATGTTTTCTTTTAGTCCATTTTTCTACGAACATGTTATGTATATTTTTTCATTTAACTTAATATCTATTAAATATTCTTTAACAATATTATCTTTAATTGCTTCTTAATTTCCCATGAATGACTACAGTATGCTAATTTACTCACTTCCTGTTAAGACTAACTTAATAATCTATCCCCCACACTGCTTAATTATTATTATTATTATTATTATTATTATTATTATTTTGGGTAATGGGGATTGAACTCAGGAGCACTCAAGCACTGAGCCACATCCCCAGCCCTATTTTCTGTTTTATTTAGAGATAAGGTCTCATGAGTTGCTTATCGCCTCACCCTTGCTGAGGTTGGCTTTGAACTTGCAATCCTCCTGCCTCAGCCTCCCAAGTCACTGGGTTTACAGGCATGCACCACCACATCTGGCTTTCATTGCATAGCTCTCATCTTTTCACTGCTTAGCTTAAAACCTTTACTTCTCCTGTAGAAGTGGAAGTCCTTAACTTAACTTGGTATTCAAGTCTTCCATCATCTAACTCTAATGCATCCCCTTCCTCCTTCCCACCCTTCCTTCTTTTCTCTTTCTGCATTTCTCTCCTGTAGACAAACAAGTTGGTTATTTTTTCCTGAAATGAATGTATAATGATAGATCATGACTCAATGTAAATGTTATTTTTTTTTCTGTGAAACATACCTAGGTTTCCTTAGGGAAGAATGAATGACTTTCTCTGTATGTATGCCTTTGACACTTTTAAGTAGCAGTTATCACCATTTAACAGTGTTTCTGTTTGTGTCATGTCATAAGCTTCTCCATGATCTTTGTGTCCCCTACAGCTTTTATCCCTAGAAGATGTTCATATGGTGTTTTAGTTCCGCGTGTTTGTTAACTTGTTGTACACTTGGCATTGACTGGATAAAATGTACATGCTTGTCATGTTTTTTATATGATACTAAATTTTTAGGGTCAAAATGAATGGAATAGCCAGGCATGGTGGCACATTCCTGTAATCCCACCAACTGGGGAGGCTGAGGCAGGAGCATGGCAAGTTCAAGGGCAACTCGGCAACTTAGCAAGGCCCTAAGTAACATAGTGAAACCCTGTCCCAAAAAAAAGGGGTTGAGGGTGTGGGTTAGTGATAAAATGTCCCCAGGTTCAATCCCCAGAACCAAAAAGAAAAAAGAATGGTATATATTTAATTCTCAATTCTAAGAGAAATGCTTACCAGGACTGGAATGGATGGGAAAGGTTTTATAAGAGATGATCTTGAAGGATCAATAGCACGTTATATAAGTAGAAAAGGAAAGAGAGGGGTACTGTTTTTATGAACCTTACTTGGGCTAGGATTTTAATAATCATGTGTTTGAGTTGGCATGATCCACTGAGTTATAAGTTATAATCAACTTATAAACAAAAAAGCTTCATTTGTCCCACAGTTTTGGAGGTTTCAGCCCATAGTCCATTAGCCCCATTGTTTGGGGGCCTGTGGCAAAGTGGTGGCACATTCTGGTAGGAGTGTTTGGTGACAGAAAATTTCTTACCTCATGGCCAGTAAGTACAAGGTAGAGAAGAGACCATGAACCCACAATCTCCTTCAAGGATGCTCTCCCAGGGTCTATAAAACCTCTACTTGGTCACACCTTCTAAAGGTTGTATGTCCCCTTACATACCATCCTGGGGAACAAGCCTTTAACACATGGATATTTGGGGGATAGCTTAAGATTCAAACAACAGCAATTACAATACAGTTTTGGGGTTACCATCCTTAGATCAAACTTAAGCTTCTAAAGTTTTTAGCTGTGCAACCTTAGACAAGTTGTCATATCTGTATTCCTTAGTTAAGATTTTTTCTCATCTACAAATGGACGTTAATAATAAGGATCACTGGAGGGATCAAATGAGATTATCCATGAGTGGATGGCACATTTTTCATATATAGTAAACCTTAGTAAATGTTCCTTGTTGGGGCAGCGGTTGTGGCTCAGCAGTAGAGCGCTCGCCTAACATGTGCGAGGCCCCTGGGTTCCATCCTCAGCACCACGTAAAAATAAATAAAGTTATTTTGTTAAAAAAAAAAAAGTTCCTTGTTGTCATGATTGACATTTATATAACTATTATTGCTATGCATGCTGTCGCTTCTTTTTTTTTTGTAGCATAGTAACTATTTTTTTTCTTTTTATTGGTTGTTCAAAACATTACAAAGCTCTTGACATATCATATTTCATACATTTGATTCAAGTGGGTTATGAACTGAAGTTTTGTTGAGTTTCTTGTTTTTTTTTAAATTTTTTTAATTTTTTTTATTTTTTTAAGTTTTCGGCGGACACAACATCTTTGTATGTGGTGCTGAGGATCAAACCGGGGCCGCACGCATGCCAGGCGAGCGGGCTACTGCTTGAGCCACATCCCCAGCCACTGTTGAGTTTCTTGTGTGGCACGAAAACAAGTTTTTTCTTAGCTACTTGCCCTGCCCCTGCCCCTCAATCTTTTTTTATTTTATTTTATTTTTTTTTATTGTTGGTTGTTCAAAACATTACATAGTTCTTGACATATCATATTTCACACTTTGATTCAAGTGGGTTATGAACTCCCATTTTTACCCCGTATACAGATTGCAGAATCACATCAGTTACACTTCCATTGATTTACATATTGCCATACTCTGTCTGTTGTATTTTGCTGCCTTTCCTGTCCTCTACTATCCCCCCTCCCCTCCCCTCCTCTCTCTCTACCCCTTCTACTGTAATTCATTTCTCCCCCTTGTATTATTTTTCCCTTTCCCCTCACTTCCTCTTGTATGTAATTTTGTATAACCCTGAGGGTCTCCTTCCATTTCCATGCAATTTCCCTTCTCTCTCCCTTTCCCTCCCACCTCTCATCCCTGTTTAATGTTAGTCTTCTTCTCATGCTCTTCTTCCCTACTCTGTTCTTAGTTACTCTCCTTATATCAAAGAAGACATTTGGCATTTGTTTTTTAGGGATTGGCTAGCTTCACTTAGCATAATCTGCTCTAATGCCATCCATTTCTTTCCAAATTCTATGATTTTGTCATTTTTTAATGCAGAGTAATACTCCATTGATGCCCCCCAATCTTGATTTGCTAAGTCAGAATTTTTTTCTCCAGCGTTAGAATGAATTTGAAAAGAAAAAAATAAAAAGGTAACACTTCAGCATCAATACACTTTAGAATTTTAGAGAAATAGTGACTGGTTTATCAAGTAATTCAACTTTTTTTAGCTGAGAGAAAAATTGAAGTGACTTGCTAAGTTCATATAGTTAATTATGCCAGCACCTTTTCCACTAAACATTTCTTGGACACTACTATGTCATTTAGCTGCAACATCTAAGATTTCTTGAGTTCTCATGTTTGAGGCAGCAAATATCAATTGTTTCTGTAGGCTTCATATGTTTTTATACCAGTCATGAAATTACTCATCTTTTCTTGTATTGTTCTAGAGTTTATACTGGCTAAAGTTCACCCAAGGAATGTGTGGTATAGTTCCCAATTAATTGGGTGGGACAAAAGATAGCATATGAGGCTGTTTAACTCAAGGCTTCATTCATATAGAGTCTGATAGTGATAATTGAGTTCTCTCTTAATGGACTGCTGGTTGTATTTACCTTCCATCTTGAAAGAAAAGCAACATCTAAAGGGGTAGATTAAGTTAAGGAAATGTGGGATCACCGTAGGGTTGTTGCTCAGATTGCTTATAGTATCATTCCTGCAAACGATTTTTGTCTGTAATAGCCTACTTATTAAGCTGTGATTTTGCTCAAAAATCACATCTCTGAAGACGGATATAGTCTGCTGTTTTTCTGCTCTTCCATCCTGTGCTAAAAAACTCTGCAGTTTACTTGGAACTTTTACCCATGCTTATTCATCCTTGGGCTAGTGTGTGTTCAAATTTGAGAATGCTTTACTGGAGAGCTCTTAAATGTCATTGGTTATTGGTGTGTACCCAGAAACAGTACACTACCCAGGTAGCTTTGTGAATACGAGGGGTTTTTGGTAGTCAGTAGGTGAGTTTTAATAACATTAGCTTCAGATGCTAAACTTCCTGGAACATGCAGGAATAAACTGAGCTATCCAAAATGCTGGCTTGCTCCTGCTGACAAACACTGAGAGTCCAACCCTCTGTTATTTCTTAGTGGGAACATGAGGATTTAGAAGAAGCTTGCCTTAGACCATGTAACTCATTAGGAGTGGAGCTGAGCACAGATGGAACCTAGCTTTCATGTTTTGTATGTGTGTGTGTGTGTGTGTGTGTAAATGCTATTTTTTCTGTAGAGGTGCTTCTTGGATAAAAGATAAGGGACCAAGAACTTTACTATAAAAAAGTAGATTTGAGATAGCAGATGAAGTTTTTAATGAATTGGAATATTTTCTAGCACATAATTAATATGGATGAATTAATTTGTCCCAGTATGAAACATGTGACATATATGCAAGTCATTCTAAAGACTCATCTGAAGGAATCTGGTGAAGGCAAGGTTTTCTACCAGGGAGTAGAAACATGATGTGACCATATTGGTACCACCAAGATAAATAGCTTTGGATTTAGAAGCCCAATATGACATATGTCATCCTCTTCTCTAGGAGCTTTGAAAATTAAGACTAAAAAATTGCCAACGTTTATTTGATGAAAAAGCAGTATGCCAAAAAGAAATTTGTTAGAAGGAGAATAGATTTATCCCAACCGAGGTATTTAACTGTAGTGAATGTCCCTTGGGATCAGAAGACTCAGATTCATTTTGTACTTGTAAGTTAGCCCCTTCTTTGTGGACTTCAGTTTTCTATGTTATTATTAAGAGGATCATCTGAGAGAATATTTGTGTGTGGTGTTGTCACTTGTAAAATGCATACAATATATTCTTTCTTTTTTCTAGGAAAAGCCAGCCAAAGTCAAAGTAGAATTGGCTTCAGGTGTCTCTTCCAGAAGTTCTATGGTTAAAAGAAATCAGCAGCCTGTCACCACTGAGCAAAACTCCTCTAAAGAAAATGCCTCCAAACTGACTCTGGAAAACTCAGAAGCTGTAAGCCAGCTCTTAAATGTAGCTCCTCCAAGAGAAGTGGGTGAGGAGAATGAGTGGGAGGAAGTGATCATCTCTGATGCCCATGTTTGGGTCAAGGAAGCTCCTGAGAGTCGTGGTACAGCAGTCAGTAAGACGCCAGTTGTCAAGAGTGGTGTGCAGCCCGAAGTCATTTTGGGGACAACTGAGAATGACATTCCTGGACCAGACATACCACCACCAGCTGAGGGGACCAGCACCTCTAGTCCGCTCTCTGCTCCTAAGAAATCTGCAGGGTACGTCAATATGGTTATAGATTATTGAGACTGTGTCTGTAGCAACTTTGGAAATGCCCCACATTTGCTTTGTCCCGTGTCCATGATAAAGGTTCCTCTTTTAGAGATATAGAAACCAAGGCCTAGAGACATGTAATGATTTGCCTTTCCTCCTATGCTTTGCTGTCCATGCTCTGCTTTCAGAGTCCTGTATACTTTTTCTTGTCAATTCCTAAAGCATTTATGAGAATCTCTTTGGTACAAGCTCTGGGCAGTATTATAAACTATGAGTTACCAATCCTGGGTATCATATCTGGAAAGTGAAACCTTATACCCTATAGAAAGAGTTCTTAACTGCTGTTCAGAAGATGCAGTTCTAGTCATAACCTTCCCTTGAAAGAGTCATTTCATACCTCTTGGCTTCAGTTTTCTTTTCTGAAAAATCTTGAGTTAGATATTTAAAAATATCCTCTTTAGGCTGAGTTTGTAGCTCAGTGGTAGAGCGCATACCTTGCATGTGTGAGGCACTGGGTTTGATCCTTACCATCACATAAAAATAAAGAAGTACAGTAAAAGTATTGCTGGGTGCAGTGGCACATGCCTGTAATCCCAGTGGCTTGGGAGGTTGAGGCAGGAGGATATCCAGTTCAAAGCCAGTCTCAGCAACTTAGGCTCCTAACAATTCAGCAAGACTCTGACCCTAAATAAAATGTTTAAAAAGAACTGAGGATGTGGCTTAGTGGTTAAACGCCCCTGCATTCAATCCCTGATAGCCAAAACAAATAAACAAAAAAGGTATTGTGTTTATCTACAACTGTGTGACTGTGTGAAACATGCAACTCAGCACCTTACAAAGGGGCGGATGTCAGTAAGTTTGGGCCTTTTTTTCACTTGTTTCTTCTTTATTAAAGGCTTAACTGGATTCTCCTTGTTGCCCTTGTAGCAGGCTATTGTGTTTTTACAACTGAAGATTTTTGTTTGTTTATATCAGTGGCTCTAAAGTGGGATCAGCTTTGCCCCCAGGGACATTTTGGCAATGTTTAAAGATATTTTTAGTTGCCACAACTGGGAAGGGGTTTTTCTGCTAGCATCTAGAGGGATGCTAAACATCCTCCAATGTGTAGAATAGCCTTCCATAACAAAGAATATATCTGTCTCAAAATGTTAATAATACCGAGTTTGAAATTCTGGTTTATATTAATGATTTTTAATATTTTTGAATAGAAAATATTCATGTGATCAAAACTCAAAAAGCACAAGGAATAAACATTAAAAAAACTCACTCCTATCCCATTATTTAGTCATTCATTTTTTAAAGACAGTTTTTCCAACAAAAAAGGTATTGTGTCCATCTACATCTGATGCTTCTAGAAATAGTTTTAAGCATATACAAATATGTATATATATGTGTGTTTGTTTTCCTGTGTGTGTTCTTTAACACAAATGGTAGCATAGCATACTTCTATGTCTTGCTTTTTTTTTTTTTTAATTGGTATACTTTGGAGATAGTTTAATATCCTTTAAGAATGAAGTTGTGATCTTTAGGTCAACTTTTGTTTGTGGCATGTTAATCACGTTAGCAACTGAGGAGGCCTTCTATGATACAAGCCTTGTGCTTAGTATTTGTGCTTCTAAGATGAAGAAAACATAGTTGGTTATCCTGCCTCTAAGCTGCCTTTATGTGGGAGGCTCGAACCCTTTAAGCACTTGCTTTAATTAGAGGCAGTGAAATATCATAACTATAATACCTGTTGGTAGTATACACTGTTGACATTGTTGTATACTTTTGAATCTTTGTAATGATCCCATAAATATATAAGTAATTACTATCCCATTCTACATTTTAGAAATTTGAGATTAACAGAAGAGTGAAATCACTTGCCCAGAGCCCAGATACATAATGATTGAATCTGAACTCAGTCTATCTGATCTGATAGTTTAACTTCTGAACTATCTACTAATAAAATGCTGTTTGGAAATACCATTTTGGTTTTCTTCCCCTTGGTCCAGAATTTCTAGGAGATTCCCTTCTTGTTTCTTTTTTTTTTCCCCTAGATTTGACCTGCTCACCACTGGACCCAGAGCCCCAGAGCTTAAAGGCAGAGCACGGGGAAAGCCCTCATTACTGGCTGCAGCCAGACCCATGAGAGCAATTCTGCCAGCCCCAGCTAATATAGGGCGAGGCAGCAGCATAGGACTGCCCAGGGCCAGGCAGGCCTTTCCCCTGAGTGGTAAGAGCTGAGACAGACCTTGGAGGAGGGGCTGTCTTGGAGGGGAGCAGAAGTGGGGTGGAGAGTGGAGATAAGAGACTTGGGAAAATGAATGCATATAAGTCACCAGTTTGACTTCTGGATTTCTCAGATAAGGCTCCTTCTGTGAGGACTTGTGGCCTGAAGCCAAGCACACTGAAGCAGCTGGGCCAGCCCATCCAGCAGCCATCTAGCACTGGTGAAGTGAAGGTAAGACCTATCCCCCAAAAAGGGAGTTTGGAGCTATGGCTGCTTCTATATAATTTATTAAATCCCCTAGGCAAAAGGCAGTTCTTAAACTGATAGGTCTCTGGGAGGAGGTTAATGTGAATGATTTAAGTCATGTCTTTTTATAAAAGAATATATGTTTTTAAATCTTCTATTTAGAAATAATCTACAATTTAGGGGAAAATTGCCCCCCCCCAAAAGTACAGAGACCATCCATATACTTTTTATTAAGTTACTTATTAGTGTATTAGCCCATTTTACTTTATCATTAATGTTTCTGCACAAACCTCCCCTGTGTGTGTACACATACATGTGTATATATAAGACATTCATAATTTAAGTTATATGGCTCCTTAATACTTTGTGTATTTCCAGAAAATAGGGATAGTCTTTTACTGAAATATTGATGCACCGTTTAAATAAATTAACTCATGTATTTTGATAGTGGGGATTGAACCCTATCCCCAATCCTTTTTATTTTGAGACGGTCTCACTAAATTGCTTGTTAAGTGCTGAGGCTCTCCTCAAATTTGCAGTCCTCCTCCTTTAGCTTCCTCAGTTGCTAGGATTGCAGGCATGCACCACCAAGCCTAGCTTGATGCACATTAATTTCATATTGATGTTCTAGTTTTGTCAGTTTTACAAGTTACATAAACATTTCCCCCTTCAGTATAGGATCCAGTCTAGGATTAGACATTGCATTTAGTTTTAATAATCTGTTTAGTCTCCCCACCCCCTTTAAAAAGCCACAAGCTGTTTTGCTAGTCTTAAGGCATTTAACAGGTACATGAAATTGTATATTCTAAAATTCAACTTAAATTCACCTTATAGAATAATTAATTTAGAATTTCTTTGTTTTTGTTTATATGAATGCATGGTTATTATAGAAGATACAGAAAAATCAGGTGAAGAAAGAAGAAAATAAATCCTTTATGATCTGCCATGTAGAATTAACCTGCTGTTTCAGTTTTCATGTCTTTTCCTGAATTTGTGTTTATTTTTTTTAATATAATTTAAAACCTAAAACATGACTCTTATTCCATGTACTAGTTTGTATCATATCTTTCATTCTATTTAGTAATAATTGCTATTAAAGATTTTCCTAGGTATCAAAATTCCATGTATCCAAGCATATTCTTAGATTTTTAAAATTTATTTTTTAATTTTTTTATGTAAATGTAATTTTTTTATGTAAATATTCTCAAAAATTCTCTAAGTCAGCATTTTTAAGACTATACTGTGACTTCAGTGACACATCTTTTTGTGTTTTTCTCTTTTGTTTTTTGCTTACAATTGAAGCAGGGCCTCCTACGTGCTAGCCAAGAAATCTACTACTGAGGCACAGTGATAAACCCAGCAGCCCAGTAATAAACAAATTTTTACAGTATAGCCCAGTAAATAGACACATTAAGTATTTTAATGAAACAGTTCCCTTGTTATGTGCCATCACTTTGGTGTTTCCTATTCCTGTTGGTAAAATGGGTTTACCCTTTAAATTTATTTCATGACCTCTTGGGGTGGATTGTAGCCTGTGGTTTTTGAGTGGTCATGGACCAGGTTAGAATAGGAGAATCAGTCTGCCATCTCCCTTGCTATGTGCTTCCTTTTTTTTTTTTTTTTTTTATACTTGGGATTGAACAAGGGTACTTTACCACTGAGCTTTATCCCCACCCTTTTTATTTTTTATTTTGAGATAGGGTCTTGCAAAGTTGATGAATGCCTCACTAAGTTGGCTAAGGCTGGCCTCAAATGTGTAATTCTCCCACCTCAGCCTCCTAGTTGCTGGGATTATAGGTGTGCACCACTGTGCCCAGCTGCTATATGGTCTTTGTAGGTTGACTTTCTTTGTTTGACATTCTAAATTTGCCTTGACAAATGGCAACTAGCTTTTATTTGGAGGGTTGTTCTGTTTCTCACCCAGATGTGGTGGCAGCTCTGAGTGTATGTATATATTAGTTTATTTTTCATTGCTTAGATAAAATACCTGAGAAAATCAAAAGAGGAAAGATTTTAGAGGTTTCAGTCCATAGTCACTTGGGGTTTTTGTTTTGGGGCTGTGGTAAGGCAGAACATTTTGCATTGGTGTACAAGCCATCAGCAAATGAAGCTTTGGGGAATATTCCAGATCCAGATTATAACAGTGTATGATCTGGTGGTACAGATGGAAGGTATTAGTCAACTTCCAGCCCCTAGAATCCCTTCATGTACACTCTGTCACTTGAATAAACACACAGTCTTCTCTGTAGTTTCCTTTTGACCAGCAACTCTGGGTGTTTGTTAAAAAGCCACAAGCTGTTTTGCTAGTCTTAAGTCATTTAACAGGTACATGAAATTATATATTCTAAAATTCAATTTAAATTCACCTTATAGAATAATTAATTTAGAATGCCTTTGTTTTTATTTATATAAATACTTAAAGAGCCTTTGAAAATTTTATAGGTAGTAGTAAAGGAGGAAAACAACCATGATCTTCCTCTTACCCTGTGACATTTAGTGACAAGTCTTCCACACTCCTTCTATACTAACATTTGTCAATTATATATTTGTGTATAGAGTTATTATATGTTTTTATTATGTGATAATTATCAGTCTGATTCATGGTGTTCTTGGTACACAGTGTTAGAAGCTATATGGAGAAGTCTGGCAACTCCTGGACATGCCACTTAGCCTTTGGTGGGCTGGTGACTGCTGGTTGGCAGTCCAGAGGACTTATTTGGAGGAGAGCTCAACAAATTCCCCAGGAAGCCATTTCCTTAAGTTGTTTGAGGACACAGACTTCAGGAGTTTGAGGTTTAAAAGTAGCACTAATAACTTATTCTGATCCACAGATACCAGGTGGCCCGAACAACAGGACTTCTCAGGTGAAAGTTGTAGAGGTCAAGCCTGACATGTTTCCTCCGTATAAGTACAGCTGCACTGTCACACTGGTAAGCCACATGGTGGTATTGCTTTGGAACTTTAGGAAGCATATGAAGCTGGGGAAGAAGGTGGTGGTAGCTTAGAGTGAGAGCAGGGTCAGATAAAAGTTGTTAATGTCAAAGATCCTGTCACCCATACAGATGATCACTTCTGGGTGAGTGTGCTAGGCGGTCTAGGGTTTTTTCCTGATGTCTATAATGCATAGGCCAGCTGAGATCAGGATATTTATGTTGAGAGTAGTCAGAGATGAGAATGTAGTCCAGATTTAGCATTCAGCAGTCTTTGAACTTTTTGGCCTAGAAAGTGTGATTCACAAATAAATTTTAAGCATTTTTCTCCCTAAAACAGACATTCAACACTAGTATCTTAAAGGGTTTGAGAAGGAATTTAGTAAAACAACTTGTTTTGTTTAGCCTAGCATTTCCAATGAGTTTCCCTTCCCCTTTTTCCTTTTATTTTTACCCTAACACATATTAACATCTTGATAAATGAATGTATGACTTTTGCAAGGTAAGCAGCATGGAACAGTGGAACATACCCTGTAGACAGTTGGAAGACTGAGTTCAAAAGTAGTTCTGGCTGTGTCCCTGGCATGCCATACGGTCCTAGATGAGACTCTGTATCTTGTCCTCAGTTTTGCCAACTATAAAATGCTGCATTAGTTTAGGTATCTTTGAGGCTCCTATCACTCAACATTCTGTAGCTCTGTTGGTCCTTAAGGTTATAACCAGTCAGATTGTTTATGGCAGTCTCTCTGGCTGATTTAAGTAAGTTAAACAGATTTTGAGAGAGAAAAAAAAAATCCCACTTTATAATGACAGGTTTTGAAAGTGTCTTTTTTTTTATTCGAAAAGTGTTTTTTAAAAAATATTTCTTTAGTTATAGATGGACACAATATCTTTATTTTATTTGTTTTATTATTTTGATGTGGTGCCAGGTCCCAGTGCCTCATGCATGCTAGGTAAGTGCTCTACTATTGAGCTTATCCAGGTGTGATGGGGCATGCTTGTAGTCCCAGCTACTTGGGAGGCTGAAGAAGAAGGATTACTTGAGTCCAGGAGTTCCAGGCCAGCTCTGTATATGTATGTATATATATATAGCATTTTTGTGCCTAGCTCTAAATTGAGTTTTTAGTAGAGAACAAGATATCACAGTGTAGAGGATTAATGCCTGCTCTGGTCTTATCTCTAAGAAGATTGTCTCTTATCATGGAGATCTGCTTATGATTTCTTTTTCTAATGACCTAATTACTGCCTTTCCTATACCTTCCATATCCTCATTTGTTTTGGCAACAGGAAGCTAGTAGGTTTACCATCTACCCAGTTCTCTTCTTGGGTTGATTAGACAGTATGGTCATAGGAGCCCAGATGCTAAAGCTGTCAAGTTTTTCATAGTTTTGAGTCCAGAAGTCACAGTTTGTTCATAGGAGGGCTTGAAATCTTAGATTTGCCATAGAGTAGCACTCCTCATTCAAGTAGATTGCTTACTCTGCCACTGCATGGACCCTGAGGTATTTAGGTTTCTTAACCTTGAAATTCGACTCACTAATTTCATAGATAGTGAAAGATTAAATTATATAGACTGTTAAAATTGAAAAGCATCTTGCTTCAGGACTTTTTGGAAACTAAGCTAAATCTGGTTTGTAATTGCCATTTTCTTCTCTGACTTACAGCTAGTCATCCTGGTTTAAGGCTCTGCCCAGGTTCAACCTAACATTAGTAGAATTAAATGTTGATCTTACTTTTTTAGGATTTGGGCCTGGCTACATCAAGAGGCCGGGGAAAGTGCAAGAATCCCTCTTGTAGCTATGTCTACACCAACCGGCACAAACCTAGGATTTGTCCCAGCTGTGGTTTTAACCTTACCAAAGACCGGACTGAGAAAACTACCAAGGCCATTGTGAGTTCTATTCTCAGATAAGTCCCTTAGCCTTGTGATGGGCTCTGTTAGTAAACCTGCTTTAATAGAAATAAAAATACATTGAATAGTAGCTAGAGCGTCAGAACTAGACCTAGGTTGTAAGTTCTATACCTCAGCAAATGCTTTCCTCCTGGACCTTGTCTTTGTTGCTGAGGTGAGGGAATTGCCCAGTGTTATAGTCTGTTTTCTGTTGTCCAACAAACTACTTGAGACCAAATAATTTGTAAAGAACAGAGTTTTATTTAGTTCACAGTTCTGGAGGCTGGGAAGTATAAGAGCATGGTGTCAGCATCTGGGTCATAGAGCAAAGAGCCAGAGAGCTCACTTTATAACAAAGCCACTTTTGTAGTAACTCTTTAATCCATTAGTCTACTCCTGGATTAATTATTCATGAGGGCAGAGCCCTCATGACCCAGTCACCTCCCAAAGGTCTCGTCTCAAATTCCATAATAAATGGAAAAAAAAAAAGTCTTGAGGATTTAAGTTTCAACCACCAAAGTTTTGGAGATGCATTCAAACCATACATTGATATCTGAGAACCAAGTGTTCATCCACTGAAAAGAATGGAAGCACAGACCTTAAATAGGAAAAGGCTGCATCCTCTTAGCTCTGAGGCCTGGTACATGACCTGACAGTTGATTCATTCTTTCAGTAAACAGTAAATTCCAATCTTAAGACTTTTGTCAGTTAAATTGTCATTTCTCACCAGGTTCCTTGGAAAGCATTTTGCTAGTCACAAAGCTCTTGTTATAGCAGTCTTAACAAACCTGTTTGCTGAAGCTGGACCAAAGTATTTGAATAGTAACATGCATTTCACTTGGCTCCTTAGGGCTATTTTTTAAAATTGTTAGAACCAGGAAAAATAGGCATTTGCAAAGGTCCTTAGAATTTCCACAAGTGCCTTTAAGAAAATTCTGGTTGTGGGTAGACAGAATGCCTTTATTTAGTCTATTTATTTTTATGTGATGCTGAGGATCAAACCCAGTGCCTCACAGATGCTAGGCAAGTGCTTTGCCACTGAGCTATAGCCCCAGCCCCAGCCCCTCCTTACGGACATTTTTTTTTTTTTTTAACAAAGCTTTTTTGTTGTACAGAAAGTAAAAATGCTTTTACAATCTCGGTGTAACTGGTAGCCACGGACAGTTGACTCACCAGTCACAGCTCTCCATGTTACAGCAAGAGTTTTACACCAAAAAACCTAACAATGCTTACAGTTTTCTGGGGCAAAGTCCCCAAGCTTGGTGGTGGATTAACAAGAGGGACTAAAAGAAGGAAGGCGGAATATCATAGGAACTATTCTTTGGCTTATTGGGTAGGTGGGCATCCTGGGGTTTGTATCACAGCTACCTTTTTATTTTTTTTTTTTTAAACAGCTATCAAATCCATGAGCAGTCCAACCAATACTGAACAGTTCTGTTTTCGCAGTTTATCTGGGGTCTTAATCATCTTCTCCTTCATCATCTATTTCTCTTCCTCTTTTCACCTTTCCCTTATGGGCATTTTTTAAAGTGGAAAAAAAAGAGAGAGAGAATCTGTGGGGAATAAGATGAGGGTAAGCAGATCTGCCTTGTGGGGAGTTGGGAAGGGAGGGCACAAGGTCTAGGGTGGAGTCTGGCCATTCAGCGTATAAACTGAACCTCAAAAGATAAAAGCAGGATTTGGATAGAAGGGGAAGGCATATTCTAGGATGGGCATGAGCAAAAGTAAAGAATGTATGGTAAGTTTGGCGTGGGAAGTAAGGAAAACAAGACCTAAAAAACACATTGGGACCGCATCATGGAAGGTTTTGAATGCCAGGCTAGAGAGTCTGTTCTTTAGGCAGTGGGTCCCACTGAAGGTCCATGAGCCATGGAGAGGCTTAGAGGAAGGTTGTTTCAGGAGAAAGGCTTATGGGAGTTTGGGAATAGACAGGACTAGAGATGGGGAGAACTACTTCAAGCTGAAAGTTTCTGCATGTGGTCTTTCTGGTGATGAACACACCACCACCACCTTTCCAGTCTGTTTCTGGCCTTGAGGAAGTAATTTGAGGTCACTGACCTTGTGATGAGGGGAAGTGAAACTAAAGTACATAGGTAATAGTGGCTCCATGGGAAAAGTACTGGGACTAGGAATGGAGAGACCTGGCTGGGAGTGACTCCAAGTTGGAAGCTTCCCTCTCCTGAGCTTTTGTTTTCCATTTGGTAAAACAAAGCAAGTGAGCTGGGTATTTTACTCCAAGCCAGGAGCCCTAGGAAAGACCCAAAATAGAGCTTCAGGGGGTCTGTAAACCCCTGCACTTGTGTGCAAAATTGGTCTATAGCCTTCACCAGTTTTTCTTGGTCCACTGAAGTGCCCTCTGCTGGAGGTGAGCTTTCTTCCTGGATTTTCCATGAATTCTATGTGTTCTTCCCATAGTGTTAATCACATCCTGTATCAACTTTTCTTAACTGGAGACCATAATCCCTTCTAGGTAGTGTATCTGTTTCCCCAACCTCTGACTCTAGAGCTCATATACACATGTGTAGCTCTGTAAATTTGGGGATGGAATTGAATTCTGTGTAGGTAGGTGTTTTGAGCATTCCTTTCTCTTTCCATTTATTTCCTTTTGGCTCTTTATGTGATTTGCAGTATAGAAATGGATGTTGCTCTGTAGGACTAGGATGGTGAAATAATTTAACTTTTCAGGCCAAGCAGGAACTGTTTAAGGACCTCGATTAAGTGGTAGCTGCCCATGCTCAGGACCCTCATCTTTAGACTTTCCCTCAACATCATATTTTCCTTCATTCTTTAATCTCCTGAAGTTTGGAGAAATGGAGAAGTTTTTGAAATGTAATTATTGTTTCCTAAAAAGTAAAAACTGAGGTCAGAAATCAGGGCCTTTGTGTCTGTGGCCCTTTGGAGCCACCTGGTGGCCATATATATCCCTGCAGTTTGCCTTCAGCTACTGTAATTAAGACATCTCTGGGCTGGAATAGCCTTCAGTTTTTTTTCTTTTTTATAATGTTTTTGTTGTTGTTGTAAGACATTTACTTATTTATTTTTATGTGGTGCTAAGGATCAAACCCATTGCCTTGCATGTGCTAGACGAGCGCTCTACTCCTGAGCCTCAACCCCAGCTTCTAGCCTTCAGTTTTTTATCCTTCATTACTAGGTTGGAGTCAAAGGATAGTATTCCTTTCATGTAGTCTTCCAGTTCATGGTTCAACAGGTCATGTTTGGGAACATACACTATTTCCCAGCTTGTCACTCAGCTCTTCTGAAGCCATTACTTCTTTCTTCCTTTCAACTATCTTGCCTGCCATGGGCCAGGCCTTCAGAGGTCAATTGGATGGCTTCTCCTGAGGAACTTAGAATCTAGCATAAAGAAAGATCTGTAGTCAAATTGTTACAGATAAAAGTTGTTGTAGGTATGCAGAGTTAATTAAACTCCTTATTAAGCAATTAACATTATAAAGCCATGTAAGATGTGTCTGGCAGTTTGTATGCCTTGGGCTTTGTAAGTTAGCTGGGAACTTAACTTACAAAAGGGTGGGGTATGGGGGAGTGTTGATTTAGCAACTATGAGAGGCTGAATCCTCTAGTAGAAAGATGCTCTTGGGGAGCACAAAGGAGTCAGTGATTCAGGTTGTAATGGCAAAAAGGATCAGGGAGGAGCCTCTATTCAAAAGCAATCCACCTGAGAAGGATCTGTTTCTCATGAAGTAATTCAGAACCTTGTTCTGTATAGTGTGTAAAATTCCCTTATACCCAGAAGCCACAAAGAATTAAAGAAATACTTCAAGCAATACAAACTCTTGAGTATTAGAACTACCATAGTCTTCATTGTATCATAGGCACATGCTAAATTGTTTACTTGTTTTATCTCACTTAATCTATGCAATAACTCTGGATTTCTAGTATTTTTCATCCGTCATTTCACAGATGAGGAAATTGAGGCTCATAAATTGCCTTCTGCATGTACAGCCCTTAACTGGTATCACTGGAACTAAAACCCAGGTCTACTGCTATCCTCCTGATGAATGGGAGCTTACAATTAAATCCATTACCAAAAGATGTGTATAATCTCATTTTCCTGATAGAAAAGTAGTCCCAGAGAGAGAGAGAGAGAAGAGAGACGGACAGACAGACTGCCTTTAGCCAAACAATGAGTTATTTGCTGAGCTTTTCAGGAATGTAGCTAGGTTTAACACCTCTCAGTCATGGGCCCAGCCCTCTGCTGCCTGCCAGCTTTCATGGTTTTAGCTGGAACCTAGCTCATTTTTCCCTGATAATTATTTCATTCTGTTCCCAGGAGGCAAGCTCATCACTTTCAGATGGGCTGAGTGCCACAGAGCCCCTGAGTGCAGCCCAGAGGGAGATCCAGCGCCAGTCCACACTGCAGCTACTGCGAAAAGTCCTGCAGATTCCTGAGAATGAGTCAGAGCTGGCTGAGGTCTTTGCCTTGATTCATGAACTCAATAGCTCTCGACTTATCTTGTCCAACGTGAGTGAGGAGACAGTCACCATTGAGCAGACCTCTTGGTCGAATTATTATGAGTCTCCATCCACGCAGTGCCTTCTCTGTAGCAGCCCGTTATTCAAAGGAGAACAGAAGTAAGTACCCTTTTACTCTGCCCCTAGCTCCCAATGCACTTGACACATTTCCCCTTTCTTCAGACAGCTTTAAAGCTGTAATCTTTAAAGATGTTATTCTCTGCTTTCCTTAGACTTCCAAATCTTTCCAGTTGCTAAATGTAATTAGTAATTGTTATTTCTATTATTATGATCATTTTAGGATTTAGATTACATCTGGACTACCCAGCATAATATGTGGGTTTGGAAGTTCAACAGATAGAAACATCCACCTAGAAAAAATTAGATCCCAAACTCCAGCACCTTTCTTTGCCCATTGAATTAAAGTGTTGAGAATTTTGCCACTGGTCACTGACAAGTCAGTCTTATGCCCAAGACCTGCATGAAGAGATTAATTTCCCTGTTTTTTGTTGATGATGTTTTGTACCAGTTCCCTGGCCGGGCCCCAAGAGTGCTGGCTGCTGACAGCTAGCCGACTGCAGATGGTTACCGCCCAGGTGAAGATGTGTCTGAACCCTCATTGTCTGGCTCTGCACAGCTTCATGGACATCTACACAGGTGAGTAGCAACCTTTTATTCTCCTCAGGCATTTCCAAAGCAGGCTTAAGAACTGCTGTCTGGGTCAAAGCTCTGGTCCTGTGTGCCCTGAATCTACTCAATGGGGCTTCTGAGGAAGAGGGGTCTTCCTTCTGACTGGCTCATCTCCAGAAGATGACCTTTACCTCTCAAATGTTAGGGCTCTGTTGTAAAGAGTTTACAACAAAGTTAGCTTAAAAATTATGGATTTTGAGGGTGGATACATCAAAGTACATTACATGCATATATGTGAATGTCACACAGAAACCTATTATTGTGTACAATGAATACATGATGATAATAATAAATCAGAAAAAATAGATCTTAACCAGGCATGATGGTAGTGCCTATAATTCCATCTACTTGGGAGACTGAGGTAGGAAGATGACAAGTTTGAGGACAGCCTGGGCAACTTAGTGAGACCCTGTTTCAAGATAAAAACAGAATGTAGCTCAGTGGTAGAGGATTAGCCTAGCATGTGTGAAGTGCTGGGTTCAATTCCTGCTATTACCAAAAAAAAAAAAGAGATTTTCATTGTGAAAAAGCTGGAAAATGTACACAAATAATAAGAAGAACCTGAAAATTAATAGTGATCCTATTGCCATGAGATGAACACTTGTATTCTCTAGCCGACCAGATATGTCCCTTCATCTATGCAAAATATAAGAAATTATGGAAAGGTTTTTAAGTTTTTCTTTGAACAAAAGGGTACTATGGTAGCCGTTTTTTGGAAACATACTTTTTAAATTTATCCATATATCATGTGCCAGCAAATAGAGAAATGACCTTTTTTTTGTTTTGGTGTTTGAGGTGCTAGGGATCAAACCTAGGACCTTGAACATGCTAGTCAAGACTATCACTGAGCTATATCCCCAGACTTACATGAAAGGTTTTTCAAGAGGCGTGTGGAGCTCCATTTTACAGTCTTGCTTATAATTAGATATTTGTGTAGATCCTTAATTATTTCTCTGGACAAATTCTCACAAGTAGAATTGCTGCATGTTTATGCCCTTGCTTCCCGTTATTCATCAGTGTCATGGATTATTGAACACTTGTCATCTACTAACTATTGTTGAGAGTTTGGTTGAATCCTGAGTTTTATTTGTGAAATTGAGTACTACTAACCATTCAAAATACTTTTTTCTTCTCTTGGTCTTAAGAACCTTATGTTCCCTTATTTTGAATTCATGTTTTTAATTAGTCTTGTACTGCCAGTTTGAGTTTGTATTATTTTATTCTCTTGCCAGCAGTTAATGAGAGTACTCATTTCCTTGTACACTATTATAATAGAGTACCTATTTCGGTACAGTCCAATACTTAGGATTATATAGTTTTTAAATCAAAATTCTTTTTCAAATTTATATGTAATAAAATTTGCTTTGTTGTTGTACAGTTCTGAGAGTTCTGATATATGCAGACTTGTGTACCTGCCACCTGTCAACATATAGAACAGGTCTGTCACTCCCAAACATATTTTGTTCTTTTATTGCCAAACCCACCCACAGCCTGCTAACCTTTGGCAGCTGATTGATCTTTTTCATCCCTGTAGTGTTGGCCAGAATGTCATATAAACGTAGCAATAGTATGTAGCCTTTTGAATGTGGCATCTTTGAATAAGCATAATCCTGTGAGATTTGTCCATATTGTGTGCATCACTGGTTTGATCTGTTGAGTAATTTGTGAATATGCCATAGTACCTAGGATGTTTGGGTTAGTAGAGCTGCTACAAACATTCATTTTCAGGCTTATTACGTTCTCATTTCTCTTGAGTAAATACCTAGGAGTCAGATTGCTGTGTCATGGTTAGTTTATGTTCAGTTTTACAAGAAACTACCAAACCATTTATGAAAAGTGGCTGTACCATTTTGTATTCTCTCCGACACCATGTGAGAGTTGCATTTAGCTTTGCATGCTAGCATTTGGTAGTGTCTTTGTTGTTGTTTTATAGCCACACTACTATTGGTGTGTATAGTGATACCTCATTGCTATTTTAATATTTATTTCCCCAGTTACTAATAATGTATGTATGTAAATATGTAGTCTTTGGTAAAAGATCTGTGTTAACATCTTTGGTCTGCTGTATTAATGTTGAGTTTTTGAGAATTCTTTGTATATTCTGGACACAGGTTTTTGTAAAAGTTTTATAATTCTATTCACATTTAGATCTATAATCCATTTCTAATTTTTATATAAAATGTGAGGTCCAGATTGAATTCAATGTTTGTATATGTATGTCCAGTTATATCACCATGTGTTGAAAAGACAGTCTTTTCTCCATTGACTTGTTTTTGCTCTTTTATTAAAAATTAGCTGACCACATATGTGACTCTATATGTCTCTCCTTTGGCTAGTACCACAGTGTTGACTATTATAGCTGTATGGTGAATCTTACGATCAAGTAGAATGAGCCCTCCAATCTTTTTTTACAGAATTGTTTTGGTTAGTTTACTTCTTTGGTGTAAAATATAAATTTTAAGAGTTGTGAATAGCTGCAAAATCCCACTAGAATTTTAATTGAGATTGTGTTGAATTTATAGATGGAAAATATGATATGCTTAAAAATATTAGATCTTCCAGCTCACAAACATGTTTTTTTTCTCCATTTTATTAAGTTTTTGTTTTTAACTGTTAACAGTTTTCATCTTTAAAAATTCCATCAGTTTTTGTAGTTTTCAGCACATAGGTCCTATGTGTATTTTGTTAAATTTATGCCTGAGTCTGTCTTTTTCTTAAAGTAAAGGACATGGATCTGTTTTTAACTATTCATTGCTAGTATAGAGATAGGGTTGAATTTTGTTGACTTTGTATCCAGTGACCTGGATAAACTCATTTATTAGGAGCGTTTTATAGATCAGCATTGGAATGTTTTAAAGTTTGTCAGTTTGATAGTTAAGATTGTATATCATTTATTAATGTGTTTCTTTGGATACTAGGAAGAGTATATGTGTTTTTTATGCCCTTTGTGGGTTTCTTCCTATGTTGTAAATTTCTTTTGTGAATGTTTCCATTCTTCTTTTGGGCTTTGTTTTTCTTTTCTTACTTTTTTTTTTTTTGTACTTGGCATTGAGCCACATCCCTAGCCATTTGTTTTCTTTTGAGACAGGGTCTTCACTAAGTTGATTAGGGCCTTGCTAAGTTGCTGAGGCTGGTTTTGAACTTGCAATCCTCCTGCCTCAGCCTCTTGAGTCACTGGGATTATAGGTGTGCACCACCATGCCCAGCTTTGTTTTGTTTATTTTGTGTATTGTGATTTTGGGGACACTGAGGGTTTCTTTTACTTTTAGTTTTGATTTTTGGCTAACTAGAACTTTGATCTTATTGTTTCAGCCTTTGCTATCATACTTAGAAAGTCCTTTCCCTCTCCTTTATACCCTTTTTCACTGGGAACATATATGTCAGAATTTGCTTTTGTGCAAATTTGTGTGTTATATTTCATACAAATGTAAAATCACCTTCCTTTATTTGTCTTAAATTGACTGCGTTTAAATTCCTCTGGTTGTTTTATTCCAGGATTTGGTGTAGGGGTGATTTTATAGCCTTTGATATATCCCCTACACACCCCTGGGCTAAAGGATGCTCCTGACTCTTCCCCATGGTGCACTTGTATGAGGTATAGAGGAAGAGTGATTCCTTCGGTCCTGAGGACTGAGCTGGGGGGTAGGGAAATGTTTCTTTTTTTCTTTTTTTTTTTAATTGGAAAAAATACAAATATACTATACGTATTATTTCATTACTTTTTTTATTTAATAGTACATTGTAGGCAACTTCTTGTTAGAGCAGTTAGGTTTCCTTTGTTTTAAAGATGCATAGTTTCCTATTTTTTGAATGTACCATAAGTATTCTTCTATTGATGGGCATTTGGCTAGTTTCCATTATGTATGATGTTACAGTCAACTTCTTGTTGCCTTTTTATCTGCAGGTCTCTTTAATGTGGGAAACAAGCTGTTAGTAAGCTTGGATTTACTTTTTGCAATCCGAAACCAGATCAAGCTGGGAGAGGACCCCAGAGTGTCTGTCAGTGTTGTGCTGAAGTCAGTGCAGGAGCAGACAGGTAAGGTCATCTTCTTCCCTTTTCCAAGGTTATCCTAAGCATCCTGAAAATTTTCAGTGATAGGCCTTGGTTGAAAGAGTTATATCCCAGAAGAGTCTGGTATTTTGAAAAGGAGATATTCTTGACTTCCTAATATACTCTTCCTTTTGAGTTTTATAAATGCCAGACTAACTTTGGAGAGCATGAGTCTCTCTATGCACCCAGGAATCTTCAGCAAGGAATCACAGTTGACTTTTAGAATCATATCCTTTGGTCATAAGTAGTGTGGCCTCACAGCATGTCATACTTATTGTGGACACACAGCTCCTGGATGTCTGCTAATAGTCCCAGCCTTGTGCTGAGGGTGAGGATCATCCTCTTACTATCTAGAGGCTTGGCCCCTTTGCTATTCTGCTTCTGTTTGTGCTTTCCTCATCCCATTCCCACAGGCTCCAGTCCTTCTATACTTTTTCCTGCTATGATGGAGTGGAGCAAGGTGCTGACGCCACACAGACCTGTGTTTGAGACTTATCTCTGCTACTTAGTGGCAGTATGAGTTTTGCACAAGTTATTCTGTGCTTCTGTTTCTTCTATGATTAAATGAGGATAATAATAGCTCCTGGTTTATAGAGAATTAAACTCACGTGAGAATTAAATTAGGTATCATTTTCAAGACCTTCAGAACAGCATCTCGTACCTAGGAGATGCCTCATACAAGGCAACTGCCATTTCAATTGGAATAGTCCCTTAGGTTGCCTCTGAGCACTGGAAGGCCAAGTGTCTACCTTCTAAATCATTAGTATGCATGGGTGTTTCTAGGGGAGAATCAGTGTTATAGGTTTCTGTTCTTGCTGGGTACTGCTAATCTCTAGTGCCTTCAGGTCTTCTTTGAACTTCTGAGTGTTCTTGCTGTCCTTCCAGAGAAGACTCTGACCTCAGAGGAGATGAGCCAGCTGCAGGAGTTGCTGTGCAATGGTTATTGGGCTTTCGAGTGCCTCACTGTGCGAGACTACAACGATATGATCTGTGGTATTTGTGGTGTGGCCCCCAAAGTGGAAATGGCTCAGAGGAGTGAAGAGAATGTGCTGGCCCTGAAGAGTGTGGAGGTAAGTGTCTCTCAGTCACCATGGGTGACCCTCAGAACTGTCCTCCCACTTTGGCAGCCACCTTCCAGCATGATGTCCCCAGGGATAGATGGTCCCAGTCCTGTCTAGGGGAAGCCAGTGTCTTTTTTCCTTGCACAGCCCAGGGTTTCATCTGAGGAAAGCCAGAAGGAAACAGGCATTTGTTAACTCATGTATACATGTAACTAGAGGCCCTTTTTTAAACCTTTTAGTTATTTATTTTTTGGTGCTGGGTATTGGACCCAGGGCCTCATGCATGCTAAGTACACGTTCTACCATTGAGCTACAACCCCAACCCTTAGATATACTGTTTAGACCCTTGAAAAATAATAGTAAAAGATGCAAAGTTTCTTTTCTCATGGATCTCACATTCTGATTTTGGGGAGATGGATAGGAAATTAAAATTTGTCAGATAGTGATGGGTGCTGTGGGACACAGTAAAGCAGAGCAAGGGGAAGGAAAGGGTGGAAAAGGGCATTTTTTTGTTGTGTTTTAAATAGTTGGGAATATCTCTCTGAGAGGATGGCTTTTGAGTAGAGATCTGAAACCATGTAGCTTTGGGAAAAAACATTCCAGACAGAGGAGCAGCAAGAACAGGCTCTGAATCGTGCTCTACTGGGCACAGTTGAGGAGCAACAAGGCTGTTGTGGCCGGAGTGAGTGGTAGAGGGAGTGTAAGAATGGATGAGGTTCAGAGGCTGCAGGAAGCAGGGCCCTACATAGGGTCTCGTTAAGTAAGGATTTCCACAGTGAGATGGTCAAAGATATTGGAGAAAAAGGACAACCTGGCTGATGTGTTTCTAAACGGAAAATATCCCCAAAAAATTAACGCCAAATTCGGATGTTATTATGGACTCATTGTAACAAATATCCAAGAAATGTATTACTCCAGTCATAGGAGAAGAATACAGCAAAAGTAGATAATGTTTCCCCAATTTATTGTGTAAGACAGTATAACCATTTAATTTAATAGAAAGAAGAAACTGGGACTGATTGTAGTCATGAATACGGATGTCAAAGTCCTGAATAAAATAATAGTAATCATATCTAATAATGTATCGAGTAATGCATCATGACCAAGTTTATCACCAGATGGCAAGATTGTTTTATCATTAGAAAATATATCAATGCAATTCACTATTTAGCATATTAAAGGAGAAATGCATAAGTAGTTGGGTATTTTAAAAGCTTTCAGTATGATTCAACACCCATTTAAGACAAAGTCTTAGCAAATTAAAAATAATAAGAAAAGCTTGTACAGAATTTTTAAAAATCCCATAGATGATGCTTTCCTGTAATCAATCACATGGAGAAGTTAGGCATGGAGTGCCTCTTGGATATGCTAGTAGTTGAGCTGAGGTTCGAGGTTTCTACCTCTGACTTCTGTCACAGTGAACTAAAGGACTGGGAGGAGATTAGGCGCCAGACCTGCAACTCATGTGTTTACTCCCAGGGAAGATTCAGGAGCTCTACAGAACAGTTTGGTATCTTTTGTAAAGGCCAGCTAAGCATATTAGGAAATTTCATGCATTTTCAAATCTCTTTCCTCCTAATTAGAAAAACAAAGCACATATACTGATCAAATGCTAATTTCTAATTGAAGGATGGTATGCATAACATGATATGTGTGTTAAAACAAGCATAATACCTCCTGAAGCCTATCTGTTTATCTGTCTATTTGTCTGTTTATGCCGAGGATGGAAACTAGGGCTTTTGGCATGCCAGGCAGTGCTCTACCACTGAGTTGTATCCCCAGCCTTCCTGTAGCTTTTTAGGTGTCCCTTATAGATAAAATGAACTAGATAAAAAATTTTATGTGAACCATTGCTTTTGTGCGTTTTCTCACCAAATGGCTGTTTTCCCCTCTCATTCAAATTGGCTTTCTAATGGTAATAGTAATAATAATGCCACTAAAAATTATTAAGCATTTTATTAAATATGCCTAAGTCTAATATTTGCTAAATGCTTTACTGAATGACTTAATTCTTACAACTCTACGAGAATTTTATAGATACAGGCACTGAAGCCCATGGGGATTTGCCCAAGCCCACTCAGCCTGGTAGTGTGGGTCTGAGATGTGCACTTGGATCTGGCCTGCTGACCTGAGCCTGTGCTGTTTAAGCACTGCTGGGATCACCAAGTACCTCCTGGGTTTTGGAGCTCTGGTGTTTCTCATTTCATCTGACCATCACGGGATTTTTGTTTCCAAAATAGATAGAGGCCTTCCTCTTTGCAAAGCCTGCACGTCTCCTAGTCCTGCCTGGCACCTCCCCTGTCCCAATCAGGGCTCCTCCATCTCAGCATGGAGTAGCATTCCTTCCCTCTCAGTTTGTAGCGTCTCTTCCCTTCTCTGGTATCAGTTACTTCTTTCTCAAAAACCAGGACTTTATTCTGCTTCTTTTGCGTGTGAAGAGTGGTGTGACTTGGAGGGGAGAGATGTTATGAAGTCTATGAAATAAAACAGGAAGTTATTGAAGGAAAACTAACAATGCAGTTAGTCACTGAGGAGACTGCTTCAGGGACTAATGATAATAGCCATTCCAGTTGGTATACTCAGTTGGTATTTCATGTCCCTAGCTGCTTGTGGAGAGGGTGGGCTCATTTGGCTCCCTTCCTAGGCAGGTGTGAAATGGTGGTGGTACAGAAGTTTGCCCTTTTCTCACAGCTTGCACTAAGCACCCTGTGAAGTGATGAACAAAGAGAAATAAAATGGGGGAGATGCCTTTGTTGTAGAGCAGTCTCCCAGATTTTAGCACAGTGATTCTCAAACTTTTCAGTGTGGAGGGCTTGCTGGACTCCTCCCACAGGGTATATGATTCAGTAAGTCTGGAGTAAGGGCAAAGACTTCTAACGAGTTTGCAGGTGATGCTCATGCTGCTAGTCCAGACCACTCACCTAGGGGAATTTTTTCAAATGCAAAACAAGGGATAGAGTTCATACAGATTAAGACCCAGGTATTTATTTGCTTTTCATGGTCAGTGTTGGGGATTGAACCCATGGCCTCACACATGCAGGTGCTAGATGCCTATAATAGATGGGTAATACTGCCTAGAAGAGGAAGTAGCTGTGCACTACACAGGGAGCCTAGGAGAGCCTTCTGAAGGAGGGGAGGAATCCATAGGGCTTTGGCCAGTAGAATTTAATTAAATAGTGTTCTAATTATTCTTGCATCCATAGAATAAAACATACATTCACATTCTTGTTTCATCCTAGCTCTAGTATCTCACCTCATAGATTCCCCCAGACTCATTTATTAGGACTTAACTAAAAAATGTCTGGTATTACAGGCACTTAAACAGTAGCCCCCCTTCCCTTGCAGACTTAAATGACATAAATAAAAACATAGAAACAAAGGGACTTGGGGACTGTTTCAGTCTGGAAGAGTACTATGGCATGGAAGAAAGAAAACACAATTGGGTACTGAGTTGTCAAGTTCAAATTCAGAAGTAGGCTCACAGTGTATGGCTGTCAGACCCCATCTTTCATCCTTTCCCGTGTACATAACAAAAGGGAGAAGACTGTTGTGTTACTAAAATTCTGTGGCTCCTACAGCTTGCTTTTTTATTTTATCTTGGCCCTTTAGTTCACCTGGCCTGAATTCTTGGCCTCCAGTGAGGTGAATGTGGAAGACTTCTGGGCCACGATGGAGACAGAGGTGATTGAGCAGGTGGCGTTCCCTGCCAGCATTCCTATTACCAAGTTTGATGCCTCTGTTATTGCCCCTTTCTTCCCACCACTCATGAGAGGAGCTGTGGTCGTCAACACTGAGAAAGACAAAAGCCTGGATGTGCAGCCAGTACCTGGTAAGGCTACCTGGTGGCTGACAGGGGTCAGGGAATGAATGACTCACTCAGAGTCCAAGACATTGTCTGTGGCAAGACAGCATAGTGGTAGAGAAAAAAACCAGGTCCACCTAGAGGACTCCTTCTAGAAAGGTTGATAGCCCATGACAAAAAGCCCCTAGAGTTTAAAGTCATGTTTGAGAGTTTTGAAGAGTTATCAGACTATGCCATAGAACACACACAGCTCCCTGTCAGCCCTCTAGGGTGTACTGAACTGAGTAGTGGAAATCTTGCAAAAAAAAAAAAAAAATACTGATGATAAATCTCCAGTCCCAAAGATTTTCATTGAGAAAGTGTAGGGGAGGCCATGGAATCTGCCTTCAAAACTCATTTTTCAGGTGTTTTTGCAGATGGTTTGAAGAGCCCTCAACTAAATACAGAGCATAATTTTCTGACAACGTGAGTTTGATTCCTTATTATCCCATTTAGCAGCTCTGTGACCTCTGGCAAGTTCATGGTCTTGAGCCTTTAACTGTAGCTCATAGTCAGAAATGTTTTGCATCATGACATGAAATGATATCCACATATATGCATATGTGTATATATATAACTGAAACAAAACTTTCACAAAACAGTACCTTTCTTTACCAAGTGCAATATGCTTTGTTTTTTATTTTATGTTTAAAATTCTGGATATGGCCTATTGGGTTGATTTCCTTAAGATACTGTGATCTACTGATTCTCAAACATTGTTTCCAAACATTAATTATTGAAGTTCTATCTAATAGTTGCTGCTTCAAGACCCAGGAATTTTTTTAAAGACTACCACACAGTTTCCTTGATAAGCCAGTTGGAGCATAGTATATAGAGAGCATTTTTAAAGAGACAGCTACTACTTCTCATTGCTGTAGGTGTAGTAAGTATCTGTCCTCTTGGTTCTAAAAAACAGAAGGCTTTGGATTAAAGCTGGTCCATTTTAGGATTCTTTTTTAATGGCTATATGCTGAGTGTCTCATTTAGATGTTTCAGGGCATGTTCCAGTTCTGAGAGGCTTAAGATATTGTGGAAGTCATCCACCTGACTGGAGTCCCACTTCTACCATGCTGGGAAGCACTCCGTGCAGAGCTGGCTTGCACTGCTTGCTGTTCTGCAGGCCTAGCCCCTTGATCTCATCCTCAAGCATGGGGGTAGGGACTGCCCATGACCTCTGACTGCTGGTGGCACTGTCTCCCATTAGCACTGTTGTCTCTTGCAGGCAATGGCAGTGCCTTGGTGAGATTGATCCAGGAGGGCACCTGCAAGATTGAGGAGATTGGCTCCTACAGTGAGGAGGAGCTGCGGCACCTGCTGGGGCAATGTGGCATCCCCTTCGGAGCAGAAGACAACAGAGTGAGAGTCTGGGGCAGTGTTGGACTCAAGGCTTTGGGAATAGACTGGTTGGTTTGTGTTTCTAGGATGGATATGAACATTTGTTAGTAGGCACCTGTGTTGGGCAGAGGGTGCTTGCTGGTAGTCAGGGAACCTGGAAGATAGCAGCAGCCAGATCGTGACTTCATGTGAGGTGTTGGCCTCCAGTAGGTTTCCATCTGTTGAAAGTTATGGGCCCAGGAATTTTTTGTAAGGCTGTTGTGCAGTATCCTTCATTAGCCAATTTCATCAGCATAGTGTAGAGATACCATTTTTTAAATGACAGTTGCTACTTTTCTTGTTGCTGCAGGTGTAATAAGCATCAGTAAGTAAGTAGTAAGACTCTGGGATCAAGAATCCTGACTCTAATTACTGTGTGTGACCTTAGATAAGTTGTCTTATATTTTAAACGTCATTTTTGTCACTCGTAAAATTGAAATAACTAAAATATCGGCCTCATGAAGTTGTTGTAAGAAATGCACATTACATAGTGTCTGGTTTTCAAACTCTTAGAAAGTGGATGCTATTACATACACATGTATGTATGGGTTATATCAACCCATTATTTACTTTCCTTCATATTTCTGTACTGTTAAAAATGTTATTTTTCCTTCAAATTCAGATTCACGTGTTAGCTCCTCATTGAAGGTTTCTCTGACCTTTAAAAAGTAGAAAAACCTAGGCCCCAGAGTCGGTCAGTCTTGCTGGCTTTGTTTGTGACCCATTCTTTTGAGCCTCCTGTTGCCTTACTGGAAGAGGTTGGTCTGGGTGGGGCTCCAAGGCTCTTTCAGGCCAGGCAGTTGATCCTTTTGCTTTTAGTATGGAGTAGGCACTTGGTGCTGAGCACCAGGCCTGGTCTTTTAGCATTCACTCCTGCGTTTTTATTTTGTCTTCCTTCTCCAGGACCAACTCTGCTTCTCCTTATTGGCCCTCTATGAATCTGTACAGAATGGAGCCAGAGCTAGACAGCCCCCACCTCATCTCACTGGGGGTAAGATCTATAAAGTGTGCCCCCATCAGGTAAGAAGATAATAAAGAGCAACTTGGGTTGAACTAACTAATTGTGAGCTGCCCACACAGAATTGGAGCCAACTCATCCTTTGGGGGTTGGGACTTCAGTCACCCTGCAGCCTGTGGAGTAGCTGGTGCCATCCTGTGGGCTGGTAATGGAGCTTGGGTCACCTCAGTGTGTGTTTATTAAGCACCCTACGATGTGCTGGACCCTGAGTCACCTATTAAGGGTAGAGGGGTAACAACAAGATATTATTCCTTTCTAGTTGACCTCATTTTGGGGGGGAAGTAAAGTCACCACAGTTTATGATGACAGCTCTGAAAAAACAAAATATGGGCCAGAGATACAACGGAATAGACCTTCTACCTACAAGATAGCCAGAGAAGGCTGAGACCTTAAAGGATAGGGAAGAATCCCAGAGTCAAGCAAGAGGAAGAAGTGTTTCCCAGCAAAGGGACCATTAGAGGCCAGATATCACAAAGCTTTAGAGGCCAGAGTAACTATTGGGATTTTTATTCTGAGTCATGGGGGACCTTTTGACTGGTGTTGAGTGGAAAATGGCAGTGGTGACATGGTCTGATTTTGGTTTGGGGAAGATATAACTCCATATCTATGTTTTAAAAGGGTGGACAAGGTAGGCACCAAGGTATCTCTGGGACAAGTTGAATACCTGAATATAGCCCCAGAGGATACCAAAACCAAAAGCCAAGTACTGAATATGGTGGTTGAGGCAGGTTTCAGCAGAGCCTCAGTTCACTGAGATGTTGGGGTCAACAGGATGATCTGGCTCTAAAAAGAGAATAAGGTTCTCAGCTACTTGAATAGAAGCTGTATCTGAGGGAGATGCTTGATGAGCTCCCGACCTCTCCTTAGCAGATCAGAGCTTGGGGTCATCTCATGAAAAGCACCTGTCAGCAGAAGGACTGGCAGATTGTCAGGGGAAGCATATCACTTGGAAGCAAAAATTGGTTGGATGTGAAGGCAGAACTCTCCAGTGTACCCAGAGCTGTCCCATAGTGGAATGGTGGTGTGGAAGTGTGACTCCACTAGACGTCCTACCTGCACGGCACATTGGGTTTTAGGGGTGGGAGGTCTTGCTCAAAATACAAATACTTTAGACTCAAGAGATTCTAATTTCTTAGGTTTGGGCTAGGGCCCAAGAATCTCCATCTTTACCAGCTCTCAGCTGTGGGTGCTGTGTAGCTAGTATTGGGAACCACTAGATGACCCTTGATAGGGTGATGTGGAGGAAATGGGGTTTAGAGAAAATGTCCTGAAGCACCTTTCCGCCTAAATGGAGGGTAGAATGTCCTAATTCTTCTCTCAAGAGAGGATGAGCTGGTGAGTTCATTCAGGGATGGAAATAGGAGGAGAGCAGAATGTTATGGATCCCGCCGAATGACTCTGACTTTAGTCATTAGTCATGAAATCTTCCTGGGAAGAGGTGAGTGAGGACCCTTCTCAGGTTGCCTGCAAATTGGTTCCTTAATCCTGGCTGGGCCCTCCATCTCCCCACAGGTGGTCTGCGGCTCCAAGTATCTTGTTCGAGGTGAGAGTGCTCGTGACCACGTGGATCTGCTTGCCTCTTCCCGACACTGGCCACCTATCTATGTGGTAGATATGGCTACACCAGTGGCCCTGTGTGCTGACCTCTGCTACCCAGAGCTGACCAGCCAGATGTGGGGGAAGAACCAAGGCTGTTTCTCTAGCCCCACAGAGCCGCCTGTGGTGAGTCACATTCTGTGGAACTAGAAAAATCCTTCAGGCTGACCTTGTCTCAGCCGCCAGTTCTTCAGGGGTCCCATCTAGGAGCCATCTCTTTTATCATTTTTCTTCACAAATGTTTTTTCTTCATACATGGGAACCAGCATTGATTGCACAAAATTTTATTAACCTCTGTGTGTGAGGCCATGGAATGTCATGTATTGCATCTGAGGTATCTCATACATGGGTATCTTGTGTTAAAAGAAGTTGCCTTCCAGATAAGATAGAGAACTGGCATCTTTGAGTCATTGTGCATACTGACCAGCCCTGGGGCACGTTGTTTCATTCTGTATCTTAGATTTGTCCATGAGCACACTACATGGTATGCCTTTTCATCATGGGTTCTATTATTATAGTGTCCTGGTTTGTTTGGGGCACTTTCCTCCCTTGTTTTTTCATGTTGTCTAAGTGTCTTCCTTTCTTACAGTGTGGATCTGAGATATTACAGTTTCTTCCCTATATTCTAGTAGTACCTGTGCAGATTGTCTGTACCTCACCTTGATGTTGGGCTTCCAGATGCTGCTGGTGTCCCTCAATGAATGCTAGTGCATCCTGGGTCTGGGTCCTGCACAAGTTGGCATGGGTAGATCTGGATGGCTGGCTTGACCTCTCGTGGTAGTCTGCTGGTGGGAAGGGGTGGTCCTGCGCCAGAGGCTAGGCTCTAGCGGGTGTCTGCCCCGCCAGGGGAGGGGTGGACCAGGCCTACTGTGAGCCTGGGTCCCGTGCAGGCTGGTATGGGCCCATGGTACACCTTTTGTGACATAAAGACACAGTGGTTTTAGAAAATAGTGATTTTTGCCTACAGAATGATGAGCTAAATAAACCACTATTCTTTGTAATTTAAAAAAAGAGGAGGATTGGGGTGTAGCCACAGTGAGGCCTTGGGTTCAGTCCCCTAGTACCAATCTGACCTGACCCTCTCCTTTTAAAAGGGGAAATTAAGACCTGGAGGAGACAATGGACTTAACCAGGACCACATAATAAATCAGTGGCAGAGTGCTTATCTCTGTGTCTCGGTATTTCATACCAGGCAGTAGTTCTTACCAGAAGCACACACATTCCAAGGCCCTCCTTTGGCCTTTGCTGGAAGAGATATTAAGAGATACCAGGAAGAAGAAAAAATAGTGAGAGATAATTGTCCCTGCCAGAGTGCATTATGAGAGGCGGAAGCCTCTGGCTTTGCATTGGAGTTGACATTGTCATCACTCCCTGGGGCTCCTAAGCTCTAAGAATTTGTATAGGGGACTCCAGAAAGGTGTCTTAGTCTCCCTCAGAGCCAGTGTCTCCAACTCCCTGCAGCCTGAATTAAGTAGGCACACTGAAAAGAACAGCTCAAGCATTCCAATATCTGTTGTGGAGGGTCCTATCCCCGATCTCACCTGAGGAAATGGAGACACAGGGGGAGAAGGGAGCGAGCTGGCCCAGGAGAAGGAGTGAGCAGTGATGCTGGGATTTAAGCAGGACTGGCCAGCCTCACCGTCTGCCCTCACCTCCCACACAGGTTCTCCCTTAGTCATTGCATTCCCTCATGACTAAGTGACTTCTCATCTCTTCCAGAGTGTGTCCTGCCCTGAGCTCTTGGACCAGCATTATTCTGTGGATATGACAGAGGCTGAGCACTCCGTCCAGCACCCAGTGACTAAGACTGCCACGCGGCGCATCGTCCATGCAGGCACACAGCCCAGTCCTGGTGACCCCAGCTCTGGCCACCACTCCTTGTCCCTGTGCCCTGAGTTGGCACCCTACGCAAACATCCTGGCCTCCATCGTGAACAGCAAACCAAACAATGTCCGCCAGCGGCCCATTGCCTTTGACAATGCCACCCACTATTACCTCTACAACCGCCTCATGGACTTCCTCACCAGCCGTGACATTGTCAACCGGCAGATCCATGACATTGTGCAGAACTGCCAGCCTGGCGAGGTGGTCATTCGAGACACCCTCTACCGCCTTGGGGTTGCTCAGATCAAGACAGAGACAGAGGAGGAGGGTGAGGAAGAAGAGGTGGCCGCAGTGGCAGAATAAGCCAGGCTGCTGTACAGGGATTGCACCATCTCTCTCAAGCCATAGTACGGCCCTTGCCCAATGCAGATCTCTCCAGGGGACTTGTAGAAGCAGTCACCTGTGGGAAGGGCCTCTGACTGCTGGGACTGACCAAAGAGCTTCCATCTCCTGAGCATGGTGGGGCCCAGGGTTCTTGCTTCTTAATCCTTTGGGGCTGAGGAGAGTTGCCAAGAAACCTCTCATTGGCCCTGAGAGAGCTTGGGGGACATGGTGTGCTTAAGCTGAAGGAGTGGGGCTGAGGAATAGGCACACAGTGGCTTCCTGGGGCTTGCTGCTGGTTGGGATAGAAGCCTGGGTGGGCTGAGGCAGGAGCCCTTGCACTAGGTGGGGCAGCTGCTGAGGTATCTCCCCCACCCCCATCTCCCCTGGGATGAGCCCTGGTTCCAGCCCTCTGGCCACATGAGCTCCTTAGCCTATTGCCTTGACTAGGGGCCTTGGTGCCCTCATTCACACTAGGGTTCTTGATACTCCCCAAAGGAGGGATGCATTTTTCTCTGACTCTTCCTGTACCCACCTCTGGGGGAAGCTGGGGAGGGAGGGACAGTCAGCCACAGCTCTCTTCCAGGACTGTTCTCTGCCCTGAGTTTTGGGGAACAGAGTCCCCTTCCTGCTTTCCCTGGCCACTGCTGCTGCACCCTACATCCTCTCTGGGCCCTGGAACCCACACCACAGAGGGGATGTGGCCCATGGTTGTGACATAACCTGGCAGCAGTAGGAAAACTCCCTTCTGTGAAGGGGAAGCAGACTGGGCCATATGGAAACAGCAGGACTGGCTCAAGTGCCCACAGTTTGCTTAGGGCCCGAGAATTGGCCAAGTACTTAATTTATTGAGAGGAGTGGAGTAGGTGGCTTTTCCCCCCCTCTCTTCCCCAACAAGAATAAAGTTTATTAAATTATCTGGTTTTGATGACGCAAGAGCCAGTTCTATGGTCATTGTGTGGGGTACATTGTGGTGGAGTTCATGAGGTGTTAAGCTTATCACTTCATGTGAACAAGGGATGGAAGGAGGGCCCAGGGAATTTGCAGGCACTTGGGTGGCACAAAGAACTAGAGACCAACTGTGTTAATGCTGTTAGTTTAATGTTGACAGGGACATCCACAGTATGATTGTTAGTTATGGTGAGTCAGCTTGGGGAGTGCATACTTCTTGCTTGGTGCGGCCTGCCACACTCAAAGGTCCCCTGCCTTCCAGCCTGCAATGGGCAAAACACCCCTCATATAGCTGCCACTTGGCTCATTGTAGCAGTACCAGATCCAGGGTGGGGCGAGCTGTGGATTGAGAAGGCTGGGGGGGATAGAAGGCCTGGTCACACTGTTGCAAAGGAGCCGCTCTACGGTCTGCATCACCTTCCACTCCTGCTCCACATGGTCAGAGCTGTCCTGCCACTTGCAGGGCTGCCTAACCCCGAGGAGCCTTATTTCTTCAATATCGGGATAATTCCTAGGGACTTCATAGACAAAATCAGTTCATTTCCATAGAGATGAGGGGGTCAGGCAAGTAGGATGGTTCTTAGAGATGGGAACAGATTAAGAGAAGGAACTGGGGTTCCACTAGTTGGTGTAGCAAATGTGAGGCCAACAATGTGAGAACGGTAGCGGGTGGGTGAGGGGCAGGGTTCAGCCCCAGCCCCTTCCTGGCAGTGGTAGCCCAGGCTCTAGAGTGGGGTCCTCAGTCCTCAGGATCCCTCATATCCCCAAGTTTCAGAGCTGGACCGAGCTGTTGAGTGAAGTGATCGTGGGTAGAGTGTGTACATTCTCCCCACATCACCCTGTCCTGGAGAAGAGGAGAGGCAGGGCTCAGTCGGCTGCCTCAGCAGAACTGGTAGTTATTGGGCTGCAGCAGAGGCTGGGTGCTCTCTCCTGACTCACAGCAGGCCAAGTGCTCGCTAGAGCTCTCCTCCTCTGGCTCACTGCTGCTGCTGCTGCTGCTGCCACCGCTGCTGCTGCTTGGCAGGTTGGCATAATCCTGAGAGTGGAAACGCCAGAGGCAATCAGATTGGCTTCATCAGGCCCAGCCTTTCCTAGCCAACCACCAACACCCTGAGCACTGCCCCACTCACCTGCTCTCTCCTGTCCACTTGGGCCTGTTCCTGGAGGAGGAAGCAAATCTGCTGGAAGGTGGGTCTGCGAGTGGGCTCCAGGTCCCAGCAGGCCTGCATTATGCTGTATCTGGAGACAGAGGTTGCCCACATGAAGCTCCCGGTCACCCTGGGAACCATTATATACCCAGAAGTCCCGAGAACCAGTCAAAAGTATCTTAGGAACTGAGGTGTAGCTTTTTTTTTGTAGTGTTGGAGAAGCTCTGGGTCCAGTCTCCAGCACTGCAAAACAAAGTTCAGTGTAAAACCTGTGCTAAATCCTTTGCTTACCTTCTCAGTCCTCATGGTCACCCTTGAAGATGGGTACTTTCATCACATCTATTTTGACAGATGAGGCCATTGGGATCCTTAGGATCAAGGTAACTAACTGAGTTAAAAGCCTACCATCTGAGGTTAGGACCAGCCCCAGTTCAGAGCCTTCTCTTGGTAACAGCCCCATGCTAATAGGAAACCCTGAACTCCATCAAAGGGGCTTGTTTCAGAGTCCACTGTGGAGGAGGTAAAGCCTGGAGCATTCTGGACAGAAACCAGGGCTACATGCCCTCTCATCCCCTTCCAACCAAAACCTAGGTGTCATCCTCCCTCCCTGGGACCCCTTCACATACATGTTCTTCGGGGCAAATGCAGGCTGGGCCATCTGGTATCCATCCTTCACCAGCTTGTAGAACTTGCTGTTCACCAAGATGCCTGGGTAGGGGTTCAGCCCTGCAAGGGCCAGTATCATGTCATGGCCATACTTGTCACTTGCCTTCCTCTTCCCCACTCACATCTCAGGGGTTCTACCTGGACTGTGGCTCTAAAGCAGCAGCTGCTCCTACCCAGGACTGGCTGCCATGCACTGAGCTGCTGGCTTACACTTGGAGGTGAAAGAAAGCCTCTGCCAGGCCTTTCTATACCACATGGAGAATTTTAGCACAGGCTTTGGAATTGGGTGGACAGGTTGGATTTCAGTAAAGTAGGGGCAATCCCAGGTAGTTATCGAGTTGGTAGAGCACTGTATTTGAGGACAGCATGAGTTCCTGTGGCTAGTCCCAAGGAGCTAGCAGGTAATGCTGCTGCTTCAAGGTTTTGCACAAAGGATGCAGCACCCTGGGCATCCCCAACTGCACGAGCAGAGATGAAGGAAGAGGCCAGAGGGTGTGGGTGTCTGATGGGGAGGGTCTGCCAAGCCCACACAAAGGCTGCCATCCTGGGTTTCAGAGTCCTTGCCCAGCCCTTGCTCTGCCCTGGGCACCAGGCCTCCTTGGCTAGATTCCTTGAGGTATAAGTGGGGTAACAGAGGAGTGGGTCCCAGCCCAGGCCCACAGTGGGCTCAGTGGCTCACCGAGTGAGAAGATTTCCCAGAGGAGGATGCCGTAGGACCAGACGTCACTCTGAACTGTATAGACACAGTCGAAAATGCTCTCTGGGGCCATCCACTTCACAGGCAGGCGGGCCTGGCACAACAGTCCCCATTACTCAGGGCCCTGGCGCTCTGTCCCCCTCCTCAGCCTGGCACACCTTCCCCCAGCACTCACGTTGCCCTTGACAATGTAGTTGGAGTCATTCATGATGTCCCTGGCCAGCCCAAAGTCCCCAATCTTGGCCACGTGCCCATTGGTCAATAGCACGTTTCGAGCTGCCACGTCTCGGTGGATGCACTGAGGGAAAGCACTGCAGGATTAGTATGGCTTTCCACCCGGCCCAAGGTGAGGGGGACAGAAGCCTGGGTGGAGAGCAAGGCCTGTCCCTGGGAGAAAGTGGACGTGTTCTGGTCCTCTACCCTGAATACCTGTCCAAACATACCAGGGCCCAGGACTGGAGAAAATGTAATATGTTCAATTTGATGTTTAGAAGCCACTGTCACCTGCTTCCTTGCCCTTCTACACCTTTGTCTGTGAGCCATAGAAGCTGCCTTCAAGCTGGGCTCTCGGCCATGGGCCCAGATGTAGTGAGCTTGCCCATTACAAGCAAGGGCAGTTGCTGTCTTCTGGGCCTGACTGTTCCAAGTCCTCCGCGAGCATTTGCACATATTCCTAGTTTACCCTTGAATACCTAGTTTATTCTGGGACTGTGCCTATTTTTATAGGTATAGACACTGAAGATCAGAGAATTTAATTAGTTGCTCAAAATCACAGCAAGTGGCAGGGCCGGCCACTAGACCATTGACTCCCAATCCTGTCCCAAGGATGATGACATGAGCTCTGTTCCTAGGCACTGTTCCTGGTCTAAGTGTCTTCTATATGTCATCTCATCCTCATAACTGAGAAAAGTTCTGTTTTCTTCCCTGAAATGATGTGCTTTGTCAGGGGACATAAATGTTGTCTCCTTCACACTATCAGGTAAAAATGAGTGAGTGAAACAGCCTGTCCAGGCTGGGTACCCCATTTCTGCTAAAGTATGAGCCCTGGGCACAGCTCCTCCCACTCACTCCTGAGGCCTTTGGGGCCACTGCCCTCCTGCTCTCCTGGACTCCTACTCCTCCCTTGCCCCTCACAATCTCTCCTTTCCTCCCCTACATCCCGCCCTCAGGAATTCTGTCCCCTTCCCCAAAAGGGACCTGGGCCACCACAGGCCCAACTGGTTCTGACTCACATTCTTAGAAGCAAGGAAGGCCATGCCCTGTGCCACTTGGCTGGAGAAGTGGAGCAGGTCCCGGAGCTCCAGAGGCCGGCAGTCCTCCTTGTTCAAGTCTGAGAGGGGAAGAGACATCAGGGCAGCCTCACCACAACCCTATCCTATCCCCCGTCCCCCAGTATCCCTTTCTTTCTCTCCTGGCCATGTTACCTCCTCACCTTGCTCAGAGAAGGAGTCATTGGAAGAAGAAGTGGAAACAGGCCTCATCTCCACATAGGTGTCCATACCCTGACTGGAGAAGCCACTGTCCCTACATAAGAGAGAGGGTTGAAGGCTGGTCAGTCCCCATCACTGCACTGTCTAGCTCAGGCTTAGCCTCCAGCCATCCTTTGAACATTCCTGGCTACTCAAGGGAATGAACCTCAAGGATGACTTGAGCACCCCTTTCTATAAGAAGCCTTCCTTCTGTCTGTGCAGATCATTGAGCTGGGCCTGGCAATCCCCAGTGCCAGCTACAAACCATTCTATATTTAGATAGATAGATGTGGGCTTTGCCTTAGAAAGTTCTTCACTGCACCTAATGCCAACATGCCCCTTGGATTTTCCTCTTTCTGATCCTTGCTCTATCCTCAAGGGATACCAAGAAGTTGGAGCATAGTTCCCCATAACAATCCTGCTGGAATTTGAGCACATTCTATGGCCACTACTTTGAATCCTTTCTTCTCTAGATGATATCCTCATCCTTGGCTTCACATTAAAATCACCTGGGGAGCTTTTAACTCTCCCCAGGCCCAGACCACCCTCAGAAACTCTAGGGGCAAGACATTCACAGTTTTCAGTCTCTCCAGGTTCAGGAGAGCTCTTCAAACTAACTCATGCAGATGAACCATCTGAGGAAGCTTCTTAAAATGAGAATTCTAACTCAGCAGATATGGGCAGGTGGCCTGAGATGTACATTCTAACAGTCCCATAGCAGAGGAGACTGAGTTTTAGAAGTGCTGTTCCAGACTGGCCAGCCACTTCTGTTGCTAAAAATCCAACAAAATACGATCTCTGAACTCCTTGCATCCTGTCCTTCTGCGCTGAAGATAGGCAGCCTGACCCTACCCACACTCCAGTGTTCCCAGAAAGGGAACTTAGTGTTTTATTTATGAACTTATTATGGCAAAAACTACACTCTCCTTTGTTTTAGAACTTTGCTTCTTATTAACATAGCCTGGATCCCATTGGCAGGATTGGTTCATGTG